ATGCACTCTACGTGGGGTTGCCTTTGAAGACTGCTCGGACGCTTCAAATAGTCCAACGAGAGGCAGCCAGGTTAATAACTGGGGCGGCATACAGGAAGCATGCAACTCCCATGTTACGCCAGCTCCACTGGCTGCCAGTTTGCTACCAGGCACAATTCAAAGTGCTGGCTTTGGCCTATAAAGCCCTAAACGGCCCTGGCCCAAATTACTTGTCCAAACGCATCTCTCCCTGTGAACCATCGCGGAGATTAAGATCCTTCGGGGAGGCCCTGCTTTCCGTCCCACTCTTGTCACAGGCATAATTGGTGGGGACAAAAGATAGGGCCTTCTTGGTGATTGCTCCCAGGCTATGGAACTCCCTTCCTGGTGAGATCAGGTTGGCCCTCTCTCTCGTGTCCTTTAGAAGGATGGTAAAAACTTGGCTGTGGGACCAAGCTTTTGGGACAGGGCAATAAAGCAGCAATAGTTTCCTAAATTACCAGGCCAATTAGATTTGACGTGGATGACTAGGACAGTTTTAAATGGTGTATTTTAATATTTTGATAAATGTTTTAATGTTTATGTATGCGTATATGAATTCATGTCCCAGAATTGAATGTTTGCCATATATATGCTGTGCTCCCCCTGAGTCCCCTTTGGGGTGAGAAGGGCAGAATATAAATGTTTTAAATAAATAAATATTTTAATAATGGTGTGCTATCATTCCTAGATGTTCCCATGACCAATCTGGTTGCTATGTTTTGAGCTAGCTGGAGTTTCCAAACTTGGTACAGAGGGAGCCCAATGTGCAGTACAAATGCAGAAGATTTGAGCCTTGCGGCTACCAGCAAATGCACTACCATCTTTAGGTCCTCCAGTTCTAGGAAAGGGCACAGCTGGCGTATCAGCTGAAGCTAGTAGTCAGCACTTCTGAGTGTCGTATTCATCTGGGCTGATATTTGGCGAGACAGATCTGGCAAAACTCCCAACTGTGAACAGTCTTTCAGCGGGAATGTAACCCCATCCAGAATTGGTTGACACACCTCCAAACCCAGGTTAGAAGCCCTGATCATAATCACTTCCATTTTTATCTGGATTCAGTTTCAGTTTGTTTTTCTTCATTCAGATGAGACATGCTATCCTAAGCCTAGGCTGTTTTTTAAGGCCTGGAGAAATATATTTGGGACTCATCAGCATACTGAAAGCATCCTATCCCATATATCCGGATCATCTCTCCCAGCAGTTTCACGAAAATGTTAAAAAGCATTGGAGATAGAATGACACATTGTGGGGATCATAAAATTTTAATAGAGTTGGAAGAGACCACATGGGCCATTTAGTCCAACCCCCTGCCATGCAGAAAAAGCACAATGAAAATATCCCTGACAGATGGCCATCCAGCCTCTGCTTAAAAGCCTCCAAGGAAGGAGCTTCCACCACATTCCAAGGCAGAGAATTCCACTGCTGAACAGTCCGGAAGGTCTTCCTAGTTTCCAGGGAAGCAGAAAACAAGCCTGCTCCCTCATCCTTATGACATCCTTTCACATATTTATATATATGGTTATAATGTCTCCTCTCAACCTTCAGTTCTTTAAGAGAGGGTTGAGAGGAGACATTATATTAAAGAACCTTCAGTTCTTTAAGACACTCCTCATAGAGCATAGTCTCTAGACCTTTAATCATTTTAGGCGCCCCTCTCTGGACACCTTCCAGCTTGTCAATACCTCCTTTGAATTGTGGAGCCCAGAATTGGACAGAGTATTCCAGCTGAGGTTTGACCAAAGGCAGGATAGAGGGGCACCATAACTTCCCTCGATCTAGTCACTATACTCTTTTTGATGGAGCCCAAAATCCCATTGGCTTTTTAGATGCTGCATCACACTGTTGGCTCATGTTCAACTTCTTGTCCATGTAGACTCCAAAATCTTTTTCACATGGACTGCTGTCGAGCCAGGCATCATATAATAACTCTTTTTTTGAGGAGCAGCTATTGTTTTTGTTTTGAGGATGTGCAGTATTTTTCCAGCTCAAGAAAATACTGCTACAGAGAAAATTATTCATGCAATTAACCATAGTTGGAAGCCTACCCATATTCCCTCAGCCATCATTCAATTTGATTTTGTGTTGTTTTGAGAAATCTCCAAAGCTTTTTTAACAATCCAGTATCATGTAGAGCCTAGATTGGAAATGTTACTTTTCAGACCAGAATGGTGGCTGAGCACTGGACCAGACGAAGAAAGGCAACTCAACAAAAGGCAGAGAAGGCTATATTTTTTTAAATCCTTTCCTGAGAAGTTTCTTCCTTCAGGAAAGAGAAAATAAACTTTCAATTATATTTGGATTCTGAGGACAATTTATTATAGACTTGCTGTCCACATATAAGATTTATTACAAGATTCTGAACTCAAGCTGCATAATTATCAGCACATCAGATTCTTGCAGCAAAATATAATTAGTGTAACCTACCTTTGGCTTATTCTTAATTTATCTTCACATTCTTCATTCTGCTTTTTTATCTGCAGCATGGTAATTCCATGGTCATATATTTTTAAAGCTTTGAGTCTATTTAAAGTAAAAATAGGGAAGCGGCTTCATAAAGCAGAAGAAAAAAATCTCTTCACGTGAAAAGGTGTGAGAGAGAAGTGTGTGAGGCATTTAAAGATTTGATAGGCACCATTTGAATAAAGTCCTAAAGTGCAAAAATGAATAAGGGTGATGCTTGTCCATCCCTTATCTGCAGCCATTATCATAAAAAGCAAGTGTGATGAGGTTTGATGCTGTGCACAACAAAGATGTAAGAGATGGCTGACAGACACAGATTGGATTGTAGGTGATGGATTTCAGGTTGATGGCTATGTATTCTTGAAAGTAAAGGGGGTTATGAGATGCGAGGAAAATGTACATGAAAGGAAATATTTGTTGGGCCATGAATGGATTGTGATTCAAAAATTTAAATTGCACTTTTTTTGAAGAGAAGAACCAAAGTCAGCCCACTAGCATTTGAGGCAGTCTATATCACAATTTGAGGCAGTCTATCCAGTGGGGCAGCAGGGTGAAACTAAGCTGCAGAACTTGCTGATTGGAAGGACAGCAGTTCAAATCCACAGACAGAGTGAGCCCCAGCTTCTACCAACCTTGCAGTTTGAAAACATGCAAATGTGAATAGATCAATAGGTACCACTTCAGTGGGAAGGTAATGGCGCTCCATGTTGTCATGCCATCCACATGACCAGTGTCTACGGACAATGCCGGCTCTTCGGCTTAGAAATGGAGATGACCACCACCACCCCCACCACGCCAAGTAGTGACTTAATGTCAAGGGATACCTTTACCCTTACCTTTATACCACTCCTAAACAGTTATTATGCTAAATAGATGTATAGATGGAATTTCTTTTCTTGTAATTTGAATCCATTGGTGGTTCTATTCTCTAGAGCAGGCATGGGCAAACTTTGGCCCTCCAGGTGTTTTGGACTTCAACTCCCACAATTCCTAACAGCCAATAGGCTGGGTTGTTGTAGGTTTTTTTCGGGCTATATGGCCATGTTCTAGAGGCATTCTTTCCTGATGTTTCGCTTGCATCTATGGCAAGCATCCTCCGAGGTTGTGAGGTCTGTTAAGATTTATGGAGCTGCAGTCCCAGAGGGCCGAAGTCTGCCCATGCCTTCTCTGGAGCAATAAAACAGAAGCTCGCTTTACCTGCTTGACATTTCTTCAAATATTTAAAGACATTCTCTTCTCGAAGCTCTCCGTACTCTCTAAGTCTTTCCTCATACAGCTTTGCTTATCCCTTGCCTTTTCTTGCCCTTCACCGGACATGTCCTACGTGGTCCATATCCTTCAACTATGATGCCCCAACCAGATATCTCACTACAGCAATACTGTTATTTCCTCAAAGTAGTTGTGATAGAACATCACTAGTTCTGATATGACATTACACACCTCCAGTCTAAAGGGGATCGCACTCTCTGTTTCTCTCTCTGTGCCATATTTCATTGGGCATCTCCTTATTGACAGGCCTTCCAGCAAGGAGCATACAATGACAGCAGGCCTCCATTGATCCCTTGCACTCTTTATGATCAAACAAGCTTATTGGGTGTTTAGGTTAAAGTGGCTAAAGAGTTGGGTGCAGGTTTATTGTGTATGAGTTGGTGGGCAGAAGCAAACTTGCCCATTTTCTCAGTATCGTAATCACACCAGATTATAAAAGCACTACACTGGAGCACCTACATATACATTACACTAGGTGTGAGCCAACTTTGGCCCTCCAGGTGTTTTGAGCTCTAACTCTCACAATTCCTAAAAACAGTTGTTAGAAATTGTGCGACTTGGAGTCCAAAACACTTGGAGGGCTGAAGTTGACGCATGTCTGGTCTACACTGTAGAATTAATGCAGTTTGACCCACTTGTGCCCACTTGTGCTGGTTCAAATCTGGGGAGAGCAGGTTGAGCTCCCTCTGTCAGCTCCAACTTCCCATGCGGGGATATGAGAGAAGCCTTCCACAAGGATGATCAAAACATCAAAACATCCAGGCGTCCTCTGGGCAACATCCTTGCAGACAGCCAATCCTCTCACACCAGGAGCGACTTGCAGTTTCTCAAGTCGCTCCTGACACACACAAACAAAAAAAACCCACTTGAGCTAGACTAAAATCCTGACCTTTTATTCTTTCTATGTAACTCATTAAAAATAAAGGTTGAGTTGAAAATTAACCTGGAATATGAAGGTAGCATGCGCGTGCTACACAATTATGACTCTATGGACTGCGTGACGTCACACTATTAGATCGCAGCGTCTAAACTTCCATGGCAACCTCCAACGGAATGCTGGAATTTGCAGTCCAAGGTGCTCCACTCAGGACACTCATTTGGAGAGCTCTTGAGCCTCACTGCACTACAAGCCCCAGAATGCAACGGGGTGCCCTGGCAGTCACAGTGAAATAGAAGGTATGGTATGAAAGAAGCACAAGACGCTTGAGGGGCGGGGTTATCCTGCCGCCTGAGGAGTAGAGCAGGCGTGGCGTCATCACTGGGCGCCTCTTGCGGCCCTTCCTCCTTGAGGGCGAGCGAGCCATGAGTGGCCGGGGCTTGCTTCTCCTCCTCCGCTCGGCGCGGGCCGCCTTCCCCGGCAGGAGCAGGCCCTTCGGCACTTCCTGCCCGCGGCCTGCCTTCGCCAAGGAGCTTTTCCTGGGGAACTTCCGCAAGGTCAGCGCCTCCCCCGCCCCTCCGCCTTCCCGGGATTCTCTCTCTTTCGGGGGCGCCTCGACACTGCGGGATGGAGGCAGCTTGGCCCCGCTTGAACTGCCTGTGGACTCCTGAGAGCCGAGAGCCTTCTCTGCCTCGTAGCCCTGGTGCCTCACCAACTACAACTCCCAGGAGTCCACAGCTTTGAGCCAGGGCAGTTTAAATCACGCCAAACCGCATCCATTCTGCAGTGCAGATGCCTCCTTAATCATGAAAGAGACGTAGTTTTAAAAGGGGATTTTCAGAGATGTTCCCAATGCCCATTTGTCCCGATTTACTGCCAGATTGGCCTGTTTCTGCAGTGGGGCTATGTTTACAGAAAATGCTGCAGAGTTACTTTTCAAGGATGATGATGATGATAATAATAATAATAATAAACTTTATTTATACTCCACCACCTTCTCCCCAAGGGGACTCAGGGTGGCTAACATGAGGCCAAGCCCAAAGAGTATAATAATGCAAAGTAAAATACATACAACGCTGCATGCAGTCATACTGGCCACATGACCTTGGAGGTGTCTACAGACAACACCGGCTCTTAGAAATGGAGATGAGCACCAACCCCTAGAGTCGGACATGACTGGACTTAATGTCAGGGGAAAATCTTTACCTTTACCTTTTAAAATACATACAGAGATAATAACATCAAATAAAATGCAAACTTTATTTATACGCCACCACCTTCTCCCCAAGGGGACTCGGGGCGGCTAACATGAGGCCAAGCCCAAAGAGTATAATAATGCAAAGTAAAATACATACAGCACTGCATGCAGTCATACTGGCCACATGACCTTGGAGGTGTCTACAGACAACACCGGCTCTTCGGCTTAAAAATGGAGATGAGCACCAACCCCCAGAGTCAGACATGACTGGTCTTAATGTCAGGGGAAAACCTTTACCTTTCAAAATACATACAGAGATAATAACATCAAATGAAATGCAAACAATTGCAAAATAATACAGTAAGGTAAACACAGGGTGTGAGATAAAATAATTAAAAAGTTGAACACAGGATGTGAGATAAAATAATTAAAAAGTTGATAACCGTGCATCTGGACATAACCGGCTTACTAGTGGATAGTTAGAACCCCCAAATGTCTCAGTCGCTCCAGAATTATGTTTGCAGCAGACTAACAGATAAGATTGATTCATTAAGACAGTCATGGTCAGAGAACAATGGACTATAGTTCTGCTGTAGTTGTGTCATTGTTGGGGTCCCGCTGTGCTATTAAGTCAATCAAAATCATTAACAACCAATGAGCAACTGTATAGCTAGCTTAGACCAATGAAATGATTTTTCTTTGGGAATAAGACAAGAATGTGCATTCGTTTTACTGCCAGAAATGATAAAAGCTCTGCAGCCCTATTTGGGGATGCAACACACCCTTTGATTGCATTTCTGTACGCATGTTTTGTCGTTATTACTATGTCCACACAATAAATAAGGGTTTTTTGCAGTTTGAAGATTCAATTTTTGTGGTGTCCTTCCTCGCCCTCCCCATTGGAAAGGGGGCTTCTGCTTGTTGAGAAATATTTTGGTTTCTTTGCCCCTACAATCAGAACTGATCAAGAACCAAATTGGTTGAAATATCTTCGTGGCATGGCGTTGAGTGTGTGTGTATTTTAGTTTTAATTCAGCACCCAAAAATACATTTCTAAAAGTTACAAAACTTTTTTTATAATATAAAATTGCTTTTTATAATATAATATAATAATAACAATCTTCCTTTATGCCCCACCCTATCGCCCCTTGGGGACTCAGGGCGGTTTACAGCAGATATCAGCAAACATTAAATGCCAAAGACAAAAATAGCCAACCCTCCAAATCCCAAAAACAAATCCACATCTACATCAAAAATAATAACAGATTATACTGCGGAATTATTAGTAATATTATATGTAACATACAATATGCAATTATAATATTATATATTATTTTGTACAATATTATTATACCACAGTATATAAATAATACACTACCATTACATTATATCATAAGGTGTAGTTTATACAATATACAAAGGGCCCCCTGGTGGCGCAGCTTGTTAAACCACCAAGCTGCTGAACTTGCTGACTGAAAGGTTGGCGGTTCGAATCCAGAGAGCAGGGTGAGCTCCTCCTCTTGGCCCCAGCTTCTGCCAACCTAGCAGTTCGAAAACATACAAATGTGAGTAGATCAATAGGTACCACTTCGGCGGGAAGGTAACGGCACTCCATGCAGTCATGCTGGCCACATGACCCAGGAGGCATCTATGGACAATGCTGGCTCTTCAGCTTAGGAATGGAGATGAGCACCACTCCTCAGAGTCGGACACGACTAGATTTAATGTCAAGGGGAAAACTTTTACCTTTACCTTATACAATATATCATATTGCAACATTGTTAACATTACATACAATATATCAGCATTATTACATTACAGTGTTATTATTTCTATATAGTATTGTATTGTATATATTGAGGAGAGCAGACAGCATGCTGGGTTGCCGCCATGCTTTGTCCCCTGACATCTCTTGGCCTCCTGTGGGGAGGGGAGGAGAGGGGAGAGGACCACCTGAGGGTTAGCTGCTCTGCCTGCACACTCGCGGCTTTTCTCTCCTCTATAATTGTAAATACAGATTTAACCAATTACACGGCCCACAAAAAAAATATTTGCACAGCCCTACTGCGGAATCATGAGATGATCCAGGTGTATGGCATGGGTTAAGGACACTCCTAGGTGTCTTTTCTCCTGTAGCAAAGCTATTTTGGTTCCTGATAAAGGAAAAAAACCTGGGTTGGGAAGTGACTAGACCACAAGTAGGTAATGTCTTGTGACAAATCTGACCGAACACAAGCAAGATTTGTTTTCCCCAAAGGACCATTGACAGTGTCTCATATCTCCACTCGGTAGCATTGTATAGATATAGAGGTCTGTGACCATATGGCCATTGTTCATAATCCATAAGTAAAATGGCATTGTCTTAAATAGGTAAACATTTTGGTTGCTTTCTTGATACCAAAGCTCAGCTCATGCATATTACTGAATGAGATTATCTAAGTAATATGTTAAGGGCACTTGTTGGGACAAGTTGCTTCAAAAGCCTGAGCTGGAGATCAGTGTACCCGTATTTAACGTGCCATTGAATCTAATGTGCACCTCAATTTTCAAAACCCTGGGGGGGGGGGGGGAAACTTTGGGGTGCATCTATGCTGTAGAATGAATCCACTTTAGTAGGAGCTCCAGACGCTTCTGAAGTAATTTTCACTTTTGCTTTGGCTCAGCATGAAGAATACCATATTACACCAATCTAATACACACTCTAATTTTGGGAAGGTAATTTAGCCAAAAAAGGTGAACATTAGATTCAAGTAAATATGATTATTTCCCTTTCGAAATAGGAATTGATATATTGGATATTGTAAGATGATGTTCTTTCCTGATCTTGCTACATCCTTTGTAGAAACAATGTAGGATAATGAAGTTAAGACATAGCAAGGATTGTAGATGGTATGGTAGGTGAATTTTGAGACTGTAAAGGAGATGTATTATTTTACTATGTATGGCATAGTAATTACACTGAATTTGATTGTATGACATTGAATGCGATTTTCCTGCTCCTTGACGGGGTTGGACTGGATGGCCCACAAGGTTTCTTCCAACTCGATGATTCTATGACATGCTGAGTATGACATGCTGAGTTAGGGGATGGTCTACAAGTAGCATAAATATATGCATAAAACACATACATGGCTGTTCTGACATATACAGGGTGAGGCAGCATAACTTCCTTTTTTAAAATGCGTGCCATTAAGTCGGTTGAAGACATAGCAGAGCGCCAGTGGTCTCGTTCGAGAGGCGGGGATATAAAGTTTTGTCCTGACACAGTTCAGTCACCATCATGCGTTGGAACAGTGACGAGCGTGCTTTTGCCACTGAGACCTACTTTTCGAGCGGATTTGGAGTGGCCGGCCCGCTCTCCAGATTTGGCCCCCTGTGATTTTTTTCTATTGGGTTTTTTGAAATCCTGTGTTTATGTGAACGGTCCGAGGACCCTACAAGATTTGAAGACCAACATCCAGGAAGAAATTGCCAACTTAACGCCAGCTATGCTGGCAAGAGTCACGACAAAAGCCAGAAATCTGTTTACTCAGTGTATGGAGAATGGGGGACGTCACCTACCTAATTTGATCTTCAGAACTACGTAAAACAAAACTTTAGGTATGCGCCTACATTATAAAAAAAATCTGATTCATGCAAAGGGTTGTATTAAGTTTTGAAAAAAGGAAGTTATGCTGCCTCACTCTGTATTTTCTCCTATACGTTGGATTTTTTCTAGCCCTATACAAAAAAGGTAACACAACGTCATCAATAAAATTGCTTTAAAAATACTCCAGCCCAGGTGGGTTTAGGGAATTCTTTCTGAGCATGAATGCCTATTACTTTTACTATTGCCAATACTCATAATAATCACTAAGCAGGATTATTCTTCTGGTTTGTGAGATATTTCCTGTATAAGATACACGCTTCTGACCTTTGATACCAGAGTGTTTGAAAAGTCTTGATTAGCTTTGTTGTTTGTATATTCCTGTTCCATGTTGGAAGTTCATGGGTTCACTTCAAGCTTCTCAGTGCTCTGAGCAAACAGAAGATTTCATAGGCCTGTGCAGTCTGCTACTTACAGCAGGCGCAGTTGCTGAATCCATATGGTTTGTGATTATTGGATGACTTCCCTGGCTTAGATGCTTGTGTAATAGATCAACTAAATCATGACAGAGATCCCTCAGCTTTTCCTTGCACAAGGCATCTGAGATCTGATTTCTCTTTCTCCTGCAGCTCCCCATGCTGCATCATGTAGTATCGTAAAAGAATGTCTTGACTACAGGAGTGCCTGTTTGTAAGGCCCAGCGGACTGAGAGCCATTGTGGTGTAGTAGCTTTTCTTGGCATTTGAGGGGGAGAACACTGGACACTGGGAGCCAACAGTTAAAATCACCATTCAAATGTGAAAACTCACTGGGTGATCTTGGGCAAGCCACACTCCTTCAGCCTCAGAGAAAGACAAGGGCTAAGCCTCTGAACAATTTTTGCCCTCCAAAACCCCATGGTAGGTTTGCCTTAGGGTTACCATAAGATAGAAACAACTTATATCAATATTTAGAATGGGAGAGGAGTTGCTGTAGTGTCAAAGTCCACCTAATGCTGTTGTTTTCTATTATTGTCCTGTGTAGTTTTTGCAAATGCTTTCTTTGGAGAGCAGTTAGTTTAAAATGAATCTAGAGAGAAAAGAGGATCATAAACAATGATTTAAGAGTTAATACAGGCAAGACTGACAGAAACCATGAATGGACTGACTCACATGCCCTTAAATCACATTAGGCTGAAAATCGTTGGGCCAAAATCTGATTGAAGCAAGGGGAGAGAAGTATAGGCAGAGTTATGTTTCCCAGAAACTGCCCAGAGACTATTCCCAAACATTTAAATCATTCAATTCTGAAACAGACCAGACCAGTTTAAGGGGAAATGTGTGGCACACAGAGTCCCAAGCAATCTTTTTTAAGCTGCTCTTTTGACAAAGTCCTAAATCACTCCTGAGCTCAAGAGTTCAAAGACCAGTTCTGAGGTTCAACTTCAAAGAGGGGAAAATGACAGAAGATGCAAGGATGGCATCTAAGGATTAGTATATTAAGAGTATAAGTGACCTTTTTCCTCTTTCAGACAAAATGCCCTTCTCAAAGCAAATTTTGTCTCGCCCTTTGTGAAGTAATATTAAATCTAGTGTCTTGGTATTTTCTTATATTAATAAAGTTTTTTTTTTAAAAAATGTCTTGTTAAAATCTCCCATTATAGGAGGAGGTGTTTCCTTATCCTGAAATTAGCAATGAAGAATTGGAAGAAATCAATCAGTTTGTGGGTCCAGTGGAAAAATTCTTCAGAGAAGACGGTATGCTCCCTTTTTCATAAACCCTTTCTCTTAAGTTCCTGCATACGTTCATGTTCTTCTTTGACATAGTTTGGGACCTTTCTTAAGAACCTGATGAAAGCTATCGGTCCCTTCCACGTGTTAAAACAAATGTCAACAAAATGGAAAATGGAGGGCAACTCTCTTTTTTTTAATACTTGGTTCATAGATTCCTATCCAGTCTGTGGATTTCAGGTTCAGGAACCCTGCTCATTATGGATAGTCCTACAGTGCTAACAGTAAAACACTAGCAGTGGACCTTGTTTTCTATCTGTATTTTTTCCATGTCTAGTTTAGTCAGCAGAACCTGAAGGCAGCATTGATTGAAGAGCTGCCAATGAATACTGCTCTTATTCATCTTATTTTGAACTTCTTTCATCTCCTGGTTTCTTGTTTTATTGCCAAGAATCCTTTTTCATATATATGTGTGTGTGTGTGTGTGTGTGTGCAGTAAAATAATAAATTAAACCTCAAATTGTGACACAATGCAGCTGGTCACCAAAGTAGTTTGAAAACACGTTCACATACTGTTTTGCCTAGAACAAAATGAGGTCATAATACTCCTGCTGAACTGTCCGGCTAGCTCTTTACATGCCATGGATATTAACCTGTGGATTGCTGAGGCCAAATATGAAACAAATACTTGGCAGAGTGATTTGAATGGGCCGTGTTACACTTTTTGGCTTGCCAAATAGCTGCACTGTGAAAGTGATCAGATGCTTCCCAGATTCCAACGACTTACTTCAGTTCTCCTCCTGCCCTCCCCACACATCCTATCACACCTGTGCTCTCTGTATATTGTGTATCTGTCTATATCTCTTTGTCTTTCAGTGGATTCTAAGAAAATTGATCATGATGCTAAGATTCCAAAAGAAACACTTGATGGGCTGAAGAGTTTGGGTCTTTTTGGCATGCAGATTCCAGAGGAGTATGGTGAGTGAAAGTGTGTAGAAAATTGACCTTCGTTGTTCATTCTACTGTGAAAAGCAACATCTCTTCTTCCCCATCCCCAGAAGATAAAGTGAGAAGAGAAAACATGTACCAATATTTCTATGTAAATTAAGAAGCTACTTCAGTCGTTGTATTGGAATGTATAGTGGTGCTGCTTTTAAGTGAGGTGTTGCATTGGGAGGGGAGAATGAAAAAAGGGATATATTGAGTGAGTCCCTTGACTCAGTAGACACTATTAGTCACAATCCTAGAAGAATCCAATTCTTCATATGAAAAATAGAAATATCCTTAATAGAAGAAAATGGTTGGAATCCTGTTGACCATATTATCATCATCATCTTTATTTGTACCCTGCTTCCATCTCCCCAAAGGGAACTCGGGGTGGCTATTATTGCATGAAAGATAAACACACAGAAAAATACCATTGATTCAGTGGATCTATGTTAGCTAGGACTAGTAACAGATTTCAGAATGTTATTTTTCTCCATTGAATCCGTGTTTTTCAGAACTGTCTCCAGAGAAAATAATGTAAATTAAATTCTGTGATGCTGTTTGGTTCTTGCTCATTCAGGCCTATAGTGCAGAGCTGCCCTGTCTAGAGCATTTTGTTCAGCTTTTTCCAAAGAAGTAATGAATCCTATATGTTACAAATGTTGCTGGGTGACAAAAGGTTTATAAAAAAGCTACTTTGCAAGGGGAAGAAAACAACATTTTTTCAACCTGTGGTTGTTTAATCTATATGGGATCACTGATTCTATCTTCATTCTTCAAAGCAATAAACTCTGCAGTATAGTTGATAAAACGGAACAGATTAAATCAGCAAGTTGAAAGATATGGGGCTACAATTCCCTAGGACACCAGGGCAAAGAGCAGCCAGTAGATCACATGCTGCCCTCCAGAGCCTTTAAGTGTGCCCTCCCTAGCCTCCATAGGAAAGTTCTGGACCTAAGACACATTGATATCACCTGTTGCAGCTTGCTGAATGCAAGATGCTGTTTTCTGCACCCATAAGATGCTCCTGTTTTTGTCCTCCCCCACACTTCTCATGGGCTTAAAAATGCTTTCTATCTCAATGCACATTCCTTGTCATGCCACCACCACTGCTTTCTCTTTTTCTTCATCTCACTCTCCATCTACTTCCAAACCTGCATTCCCACTTTTTGCCCTTTTCCCCCTGGGTCCCCACCCACTTCAGGTTATCTTTCAGTCTCCATTGATTCTTTCTCCTTCTATCCTGTGAGTCTCTGATTCTTTTCTTTTGCTTCAGACCCAGTCTGCACTTCCACCCCCAAAGCAGCACACTCTGCAGCTCAGCTAGATTTTAGGAAAGATCAAGACTGTCATAGAATCAGTGCAAACAAGAATAAGATAAAGTAAAGCAGGAAGCAGACAAGCAAGAGTAATACAAGATAGTTAATAGAAGGGGGAGAGAAAGGAAAAGAGAGAAACAGATCAAGATGAGACCACCGGAGAGTGAGCAGATCATGTGTTTGTGTGTCAGAAAGGGAGGAAGAGGAATGCTTTTTTCTCTATCTCACACTGGGAAACCAGCTGCAGAACTGATCACATTTCCTTAACAAAGAATACAGTTCCTGCTTGGTGAACTAGATCAATCCACCAAAAGACAAAGTACTCTTTTAAAAATTTAACTCCAGAAAATTAATCACAAATGGTCAACTAGATTGAAACTGAAATTAATTACCCATATTTACTCATGTATAGCATGCCATTTAATATAATAACACACACCTCAATTTTGAAATTGCACATTACCAAAAATTGATTTGTCATCAAATGTAATGTGCCCAACAGTGCAGCCACAGAACATCAGGGAGCGCAGCAGTATGAACGAGACCAAGAACCCACATTTCTCTGTCAAACTCGCCAGCATTGCATGGTTACCAACTGCACTCGTTCGTAAGGGAGCATCCTGCTCCTTGGGCTACAGAGTCATGAAGGTCCAGAAGCCCCTCCATGGCAAGAATGACTAGATCGCCAGATGGTTGCTAGTTAGTATATATCTGTAATAAATGAAATGAAAATAAAAAAACAAATGTGGGACCCTCCAGCACTTCCATAACCCAGAGTGTGGCTCCTGCCTCCAATGCTGTTGTGCACTCCTTGCCTGGGAATTTGTAGGAGGAGTATAGATATAGTTTGCCTACAGTCATGTAAAATAATGAGAATCACTCTTTGAACTGTATTTTGAAGGCAGTATTGTTATTCTTCTTTAGATGACATCGTAGGAGAATAATTTGATATATTTCATAAAGAGATATAGGAAAACCTCAAAAGAATCAGCCTTTAATCTTACTTGTCCTCACACATAACTACAGTTATAAAAACAAACATTGGTTTGCCACCAGACCCTAAAAGTATTTCAACAATTGTGCTTTTGTTTTAAGATTATGTAGCACTAGTTGCTAGAACACCAGATTTTCTGTGTAAGCAACAAGTTTTATAACTCTAGTCTTTTGACAGAAAATAGAACTTCTTATTTCCTACATAACAGTCCTTTCTTTATTGGAAATCTATTGTTTCACAAGGACTTTTTCTCAAATCTTACTGAAATATAGGTGCATGAATAATATCCCTTGTTATGATAAATGGTTGGTGGTAGACTTTATGGGAAAGCATTAAGCCTACAGATTCCTGTAACTTCCAAGAGCAATTCTGAGGAAGTACATTTATGATTACAAAGTGTGTTTTATCTTGCTTTTGTTCTTACAAGCAAAATGTCAAAACAGCGAAATCCTAATGTGATGATCAGAGCAAAACCTTGTTTGCAGGTGGCCTTGGTCTTTCAAATACAATGTATGCACGTTTAGGAGAAATCACTTCTCAGGATGGGGCTATTGCAGTCACTTTGGCAGCTCACCAAGCTATAGGGCTAAAGGTAATTATTGTGTTAATATATCAATTATTAGTGTTTGTGATAAAACATCACAACTGGAAGACATAAAAGCCATCCTATTTTGGGGGAAGGGGGGTACATTCAAACCACTCTCTCTCTGCTGTTATAGGTAAGATATATGAAGACGCAGAGTTAAAAGGGCATTGGTAATGTTCCTGTGAAATAAAATCTGAATAATAAAAAACAGGATTGCTAGATCCTTAAGAACTTATCTGACAACTCTGCATAATCTGAATATTGAAGTGGAAACATTGTGTTATTAACAGATAAACTTAATTCATTCGATGAAAATATAAAATGATAGGTCTGAGTAACTGACAGATTTAACTGGATGCAATCCTCTTAGTCTTTTTCTGGCCAGGAAATTGTATTTTGGTTACCATTATTCCATATGCATTTCATTTTTTTTCAAGTCTAGCTCAGAACTGAATAAAATCTGATTATTTCATATTGTTTAAAAAAAAGTATGAAATGTGATTGGCACATCTTTCTTTAGATCAGTGCTATTCAAACTGATTTTCTGCAAACAGACAGTGGTCTATAAATCATTAGCTGTTGGTCTGTGTCAAGTTTCCAAGAAGTTATGCAATTAAGATAATACGGTGCAAACAAAGTACTGGTTCCTGGGACCTTAAAGCGGGGGTGGTCAATCCCCCACATCAAACAGCTTGGAAAGCAGTGCTGTAGATTCCTGTTAGCTATGCTTTCTGAAACTGGTCTGATTTATGCTGACGAAGACTTAACAAAATTTCCCCCAAAAATCAGAAGGGTTATCAAACTTTTTAGTTTTTCGGTGCTGTCATTTTGTATTTATTTCAACTGAATTAAGCCTGTCTACAGTAACAGTGTTTCTGCTTCAGAATTCAAATTACGCAATTTCATCAAATGGTTCTAAAGCAGTCTTGATCTTTATTACTTTATTCACAGGGACCTTATTGACTTTCTCTTTGCCCTGAACAAAAGGATTGGTTCATCCTACATCCTGAGTTCACGATGACTATAGAAAAAAAAAGTCCTGCTGATTTTAAAGTGTTCATGCCTGTGTACCGATTAGACACCTAAAGAGTGTTGTGTTGTTGACATTTAAATCAATAACTGTGGACGAGCTTTTGTTTCACAATATCAAATGTGTGTGGTAGTAAATGGTTAATTTGCATTTTTTTTTGGGCAGGGAATCCTTATTGCGGGCACCAAGGAGCAGAAAGAAAAGTATCTACCCAAACTGGCTTCGGGGGAATACACTGCTGCGTTTTGTCTCACTGAACCAGGAAGGTAGCACATTGACCTTTTACAATAAAAAGTACTTTTCAATGCTGGTCTACTGAAATCACTGAGAAACTGAATTAGAATTCAGAAAATCCTGGCGTGACACTTCCATCAGAAAAAAAGACAGGAAAGTTAAGACAAGAATTTCAGACTATTTTATAGAATTGAAACAGGAAAAATTTGTAGATTTTCTAAAGCAAGTTCTATTTTAATTTTGTATTAATCTACTGCCAAATTCTACTTTTGGTGTTCAACAGAAAATTACACCCATACGTATTCCAATTCATCTCATGCAATTGCCATCTAGAATAGAAATTTTAGCAGACTGTGTTTAGGGAGCTATTTTGAACTACTGCTAATTATGGGAATATTAGTAATAGTGGTGGTTGTGGTGGAGGAGGAGGTGGTAGTTGTAGTATTTATATCTTTTTTTCTTTCACAAGACAGACTCAGAGTGGCTAACACTAAAAATCATACAATATGCAAATTAAACCTAAAACATATAAATATATATCTTCAGCTTTAGAACTTTCCTATCCAAAGAATTCTTGTGTCTGTGGCTTTTGGGGGCTTGACCGCCCATTTCCTTGATTTATTCATATTACAGTGGAAGTGATGCTGCATCCATCCAGAGCAGAGCTATTTTGTGTGAAGATGGGAAACATTTCAAATTAAATGGTTCAAAGGTACTTATTTGCAGTTGATATGACATTTAGCCCTCTGCTCCCATACCAATTTGCTTACCAGATATCTTCATTGCTTTTCCTGCCTTATTGACTAATGGCTGAATGTAAAAGCAGCTCAACAGAATCCTCATGCAGTGAAAAATGCCTCAGATCGAAAGCAGCAGATTCCCCTTAACCCTAACTTAACCTAATAAACAAGAGACAATCTTCTCAGAGGTGTATTCTCTTCGCTGAGGATCTCATGTATTTAGCCATTGAAAGGTATCACCTTTCCTTGAGCATAAACCAGTTTTCAGCTCAGTGTTGAATCATGGCTGAAAAACTATAAAGGTCCAAAGCAGAGAGGGTTGTATTTCGCCGATATGGCCCATGAGTTCAGATGTGACACCAAACACAACAAGTGCCTCTCTCTTTTAATTGCAGATATGGATCTCAAATGGTGGTATTGCAGATATTTTTACTGTGTTTGCAAGAACGGAGGTTACTGACAAAGATGGTGCAGTAAAAGACAAAATTACAGCTTTCATTGTAGAAAGAGCTTTTGGTGGAGTCACTCATGGAAAGCCAGAGGATAAGCTGGGCATCCGAGGATCTAATAGTAAGAAATTACAGAAGCACTGCTTTGGATCCAAGAGAAGATCCAGATGTTGTATCAGCTACATTTTCTGAAATTTCCAGAATGTATGTTTTAGTTTGGCAGTGATTCTAAAAGGTTGGCCAACAAATAGCTCAATAGTGTTTCTTGTCTTATTTGAAATCTACACAGAGTTGCCATAAAATAGTTCAGGTAAAAGCTTGCTTGAAACACCAGTGCATCTCATGCGCTAGATGAATAGTATTTCATCCCAGTGATGTGAATGTGAATGTGCACACAGTGTGTCTGCATTCACAATGAACTGCAGCTTCTGAACATCACAGTTCCAGAGCTGGTGGACCTGAAGAGGTCATTGTAGTTCCCAAATAAAATATGGTTTCTAGCTTTTCAAATTAAACAATAGAAATCTGATTGGCAGTAAAAGCAAGGTTTATGATGAGACCCTTCTCTTCCCCATCCCCTCAGATTTGAAAACCTGCACCCCCACCACCATGGTTTGAAAACAGGCATCCTGTTGAAATTCTAAAATATCTCAGGATTTCATTATAGCATAGGTTGGTGATAGACACAGGAAGCATCGTAACTGAACAATAGAAGGAAAAGGGAATAAAAAGGAAAGTTTGGGGGATAGTTTAAAAAAAGCAGGATAAAATGGAATTGTTTTCTCTCAATCCTAAATTCATACTCCCAGGATTCCTATAATACATCAAATGCTTCCCAAAACACTTCAGGATTAGGTTAAATCTCTTTGTCTTGCAGCTTGTGAACTTCACTTTGAAAACACAAAAATCCCTATAGAGAATGTTATTGGAGAAATTGGAGGAGGTTTTAAGGTAAGATGCAGATAGTAATTAATTAAAGCTGCCAGATCTTGTACCTATATTTTATGATGTGGAAAGAGGGAAAGTAGGCTTAATTGGAAAGGAGTGGAACTTTAGTGGGTAATCACAACAAAAGCAAGCAGACCACTAAAATAACTGTGGATTTGTCTACTTCTTTAAAGTCCAATGATGGATGGAAATTTGGATAATTAGTAAAGATCACGTCTTTGGTTCAAGTAGTATCTCAGCACAGTAGTTGTAGAGAGAGTTCCTCAAACTTCAGGCTGTAGCTGAACAGTCTTTCCCTGCCAAATTACCTGTGGCAAAGCATCTGCTGGAAGTAACAAGACCAACTCAGCTGCCAGTTCTGGTGTTTCTCATGTTTTAGCTGTTTATATACAAGTGGATATTTGTTGCAACAAATTCTTAGCCAGTTCAGCTGAGTGGTATAGGCTAAAAATGTCAATAAAGCTATGTGTGAATCTTTTGAAATCCTAATTGCACTGTTTGTCAAGTAATTGCTTCCAGTAGTTGAAGTTTCTATAGCTTGTAAGGGCATGCATGCATGCAAAGCCAATAAACTAGAATTTCAGTTGAGTTTATACCTGTGGCAATCGACATCCTGCTTTGCAAGTGGAACAGTATTTTACATTTTGTAGAGGAATCTATTGGATTTCATGCTGCTTCTGAAAGGCAGTGATTTCTGTAAATGACGTTAGCTGAGGAATATGAAGAAGAAGAGATAGCAATTGATTGCATTTCTAAATTCAATAGTACCCTGTAATCCTTTCCTTTATTGTAGCTTACTGAGATTGAAGTTTCGTAAGAACATTTTTACATATAAACCCTACACCTAAATCAATTTCTGAATGTCAAAAATTATGTAAATCATATTGATTCTATCGATCTATCCTTTCAAGTGGGTTTAGATGATTATATGAACCAGTCTACCTGCTACATTTAGAGGTAGTTGTGTAAAATGTCACGTGCATTGTGCTCTTTGCAACATAGCAATATAGACGGATTTATTTAAGTAATAATAATAAACCTTGTGGTTGTTGTTTAAAACCAACAACATATTGTGATCTATGAGAACACAGATATATTCCCCATCTTAGTATAGAGATATATTCCCCATCTTAGGATACATATTTTTGGAAGAAGTTAGTAAGGTCCTTTCCATATTCTTTGTCATTAAAATGTGGCATATATAATGAAGCAGATGTCCTGTTAATGGTAAAGTTTACTAGTAAATCTTCAGTAAAAGAAAATGTGTTCCCTTGGTGGACATTTTGAATGTAGTTTCCTGAAATAATGTCTGCTTCTCATTGTAGATTGCCATGAATATCCTAAACAGTGGAAGATTTAGTATGGGCAGTGCATCTGCTGGGATGATTAAAAAACTGATAGGTAAGACAAACTTGCTGTGTTGCTGGATGGAAGAAATTTTTTTTCTTGTTTCTGAAGGAAAACCTTATTTTCATGTAAAAATTACAGCTATATTAATGTAAATATTTTTGCCATTTACAAAAGTGTGTTCCTAGTCCTAGAGCAAAGAGAGTGCCACTTATTATTGTCTTTTTGCATCTAGGCCATCAGCTTAAATATGTGTTTTCCTTTCTCCAACAATACAGAACCAACATCTCCTAGCAAATAGTGACATTCGGAAGTAAGAGGGCAGTATAAGCAATTCCTAAAAGTTCACCTATAACATAGAGAATAATGATTAGTTGACTCTGAGGCTGAATATAGTTGCTTAATATAGTCCAATTATATTCAGGAACATTCCTGAGTATCAAATATGAAACTGAGATAATGAAACTGTGATTACATTTGTAAAACAGCGGCATTTTTGTGTAGAGAAAATCAAAGAAGGTGACATGGAGAGGAGCATTGGCAATATTCATAGAACTATAGAATCATTGAGTTAGAAGAGACCTCGTGGGCCATCCAGTCCAACCCCCTGCCAAGAAGCAGGAAAATCGCATTCAAAGCACCCCCAACAGATGGCCACACAGCCGCTGCTTAAAACCCTCCAAAGGAGCCTCCACAACACTCCAGAGCAGAGAGTTCCACTGCTGAACAGCTCTCACAGTTAGGAAGTTCTTCCTAATGTTCAGGTGGAATCTCCTTTCCTGTAGTTTGAAGCATTACTCTTGCATCCTAGCTTCAAGGGCAGCAGAAAACAAGCTTACTCCCTCCTCCCTATCACTTCCCCTCACATATTTATACATAGCCTTCATTATGTCTCCTCTCAGCCTTCTTTTCTTCAGGCTCAACATACCCAGCTCTTTAAACCACTCCTCATAGGACTTGTTCTCCAGACCCTTGATCATTTTAGTCGGCCTTCTCTGGACACATTCCAGGTTGTCAACACCTTTCTTCAATTTCAGTGCCCAGAATTGGACAAAGTATTCCAGGTGTGGTCTGACCAAAGCAGAATCAAGGGGTAGCATGACTAGACACTACTCCTATTTATGCAGGCCAAAATCCCATTGGCTTTTTTAGCTGCTGCATGACATGGTTGGCTCATATTTTACTTGTTGTCCACGAGGACTCCAAGATCTTTTTACACATACTCTTATCGAGTACATGTGAGCATAAAGGGCATTTTCACATTTCTTGTTTTGAAAATGTCCTCTATGCCTAAAACAGCTGAGGGAGAATACAATGAAATTGTTGATATGAGCAACCTAGAGCACATGTATCAAATGCAAGACCCTTGGGACAAATCCAACCCAGCACATCATTTCATGTGGCCCATGAGGCTTTCAATACCAGGGCAACATAGTCACATTAATACAGTCTTACAATTGCAATGGTCCTTTGAAGACAATCTTAAGACTGATGTGGCACTCTGTGAAAATGAATTTGAGCCCCCTTTAAGGACCTTTTGAGTAAAAAAAGAAAAGAAAAGATAAATGCTCACTAGGTGGAGAGGTGTGTGTTGTTGGGCTTGAGGCCTATGAGGTATAACTTGTCCACCTCTGGGGTGTTTTTTTTTTTAGTAAATTTTTATTTTAAATAATAAGCAAAAAGGGAGAAGGGGAAAAGATTTTGGTTTCCAAGTAAAGTGGGGAAGCAATACTGTGAGAGTCCTGTGTTTACTTCTTCAAAGAGCACATATATTCGGAGAGCTTGTTTGCCACAGTGTGTGTCTTGGTTCGTCTCTCACTTTCCATTGGCAAAAAAGCTGGAATAGAATGTGCCTTCTCTCACTTTCTAGGAGAAATCTATAATAATTACCAGCACCACTTGGCATAAATTGACTTCTGCTTTCTTAAATTGGGCCCAGCAAAGCAGGCAAGACATAATTGCCACAACTTCAAGGCTGGAGGTGCTTTTGTCTTTGTTGTTTGATTTAAGGGACTTGACAGCCTAATAGTGAGAGAGGTTTCATCAGCGCAGAAGGCTACTCTGGTGGAAGATCACAAAATAAGCCCAGTTAATGTGGCAGTAATCATGAAACTGCATTGCAGAAAGAAACAGAGGCTGCTGCCTTGCAGGGATGTAGTTGGAGACATCAGTTTTCATGATAAAAGCCTTCTTTTTCAGTTCATTAAAGTAATTGTAAAATGGCCCTATTATATATTTTCCTATTGAAATAAAATGTTTAAAAATTACTTTATTTATATTGATCTTCATGCATACAATCTGGTTAACAATCCTTTCTTTCTTTTTTAAAGAAATGACAGCAGAATATGCTTGTACAAGGAAACAGTTTAATAAGAAGCTGAGTGAATTTGGATTAATTCAGGTAAGTCAGATACTATAAAATGGTCCAATTTGAGGCATTCATATTTTATCCTTTTAAGAAGTGAAAATCTTTTACCAGTATAGAATTATGTGCATAGCACTGATTGGACCTGAAGTGTGGTAGTAGTTATATAGGAAATACACAATTAATTATTCTTTAAAATTAGGAAAATTGTGCTTTACATTCTAGGCATCTTACATTTGAGAATGAACTGTAATGAAATATTGTCCAACCACTGGAGGAAATGATATTAGATATTAGTCACATAATGAGAAGACAGGAAAGCTTGGAGAGGATAATTATGCTGGGGAAAATGGGAGAAAAGGGGAAGAAGGGCTGACCAAGGGCAAGATGAATGGATGTTATCCTTGGAAGTGACTGGCTTGACTTTGAAGGAGCTGGGGGTGGCCACGGCTGATAGAGAGCTCTGGTGTGGGCTGATCCATGAAGTCACAAAGAGCTGGAAGCGACTGAACAAATAAAAAACAAACTGAAGAATATCACGCATGAAATGACACCTTTTTGTTGCTCCTTTTCCAGGAAAAGTTTGCCCTCATGGCTCGGAAAGCATATGTCATGGAAAGCATGGCCTATCTTACTGCAGGAATGATGGACAGACCAGGGATCCCAGACTGCTCCATTGAAGCTGCCATGGTTAAAGTAAGATTTAATGAAACATCAGTTTAAAGAGTATATGTACAGGCAGTAAGACTCCAAAAAGAAAAATATTGTGTTGTCGAAGGTTTTAATGGCCGGCATCACTGGGTTGCTGTGAATTTTTTGGGCTGTATTATCTCCTGACATTTACCTGCATCTATGGCCAGCATCTTCAGAGGTTCTGTTGACCATGAAGCAAGTGGAGTGCATATATATCTAGAATATTCAGGATGGGAGGAAAAACCCTTGTCTGTTTAAAGCAAGTGTGAATATTGCAATTAGCAAGCTTAAATACCATTGAGTAGTCATGAAGTTGCAAAGTCAGTCATTGAGGGTGCAAAGTCAATCAGTGAGGGTATCTACATAGTGAGGCTATCTGTTGCCAGCCCTGCCCTCCATCTTTGATGTTTAAGACTGATACTCTTAGGGTCACACCTCCTCAAGTTTTCAACCCCTTTCCTGGAATTTCCATTCCCTTTGTTTTCTCAGAAGGAGCTCAGTGTAGCTAGAGGAAGTTATAGCGATTAGCCATGTAGTTATCTTAAATATTTTTGTAACTTTAGCTATTGGTTTTGTTTCCAAAGTGTGGTATCTCATACTTCCTCCTGATATGTACACCTCTCTGCTGACATATGCATTGCATTACATGCTCCTGAACAAGACTATTGATGATATTGGGACTTCAAGATGTCACAGTCATGGGGTTTCCACAAGTCAAAGTCTGCTTGCTTTGCTTACATACCTGTTAGGTTCTGAAGATATTGGAAAGGAAGTGAAAGCAGGAAGTTGACCATTGCTGTTTAAGAGTTAGTGGATGCTTCTTATGTTGTGTGTCTGGTACCTTGGAGGCAGCAGGGAGTCCTCTCCTCACTAGCTAAAAGGGCGGGCCTTGATGTTAATTTCTCGGCCTTCCAAAAGACAGAGAAAGTTGAATATAACACAGGAACCGACTCTTATACATAGTGCAGTTCAACATATGTAAGATTACTGAGGATGATTGCAACTGTTATTGGCAGGTGTTTAGTTCTGAAGGTGCTTGGATTTGTGTGAGCGAAGCTTTGCAGATCCTCGGAGGCCTTGGCTACATGAAAGATTATCCATACGAACGCTATCTCCGGGACAGCAGGATACTCCTGATTTTTGAGGTAATAAAAAGAAACGTGATTTATTATTATTTATTTATTTGCCACATTTGTACCCCATCCTTCTCACCCCAAAGGGTGAGAATTGCGTGTTGCATTTAAAAAGACTGTAGGTGTCATTTGAAGTTTAAATAAGGATGAGTATAGTACTGGAATAAATATATTTAAATATATTTTCCAAAAAGGACTTGGTGACAAATTTAATGTTATCCAATGTACTGCGGGGGGGGGGGGGGGGGGGGGGGGGGTAGGAACACACATAGAAAAAGGTCCTTTCATAGCAAATAGAGCATAAAAGGTGGACTTAGCCTCCCTGGCTCTGCACAGGATGCTAAAGGAACAGCCTTACTTGTGTTCTTGCAAAAACCAGCGCACGCTATTTGGGGCTGGGATGCCTGTCATCCAGAAGTGGCATCTGTGCACTTCCCTCCAGCCATCTAGGCTGAACTGGTCACTTTGGAAACCTTCTGCTTTGCTTGTCAAAGCAAATACAAATAAGCTTTGCAGTGGAAAATTCCATTTTAAAAATGTTTGCTTTACAAGCTCACTAAGAATGCAGGCCAGAATTCATAACATGAAGATACAAAATGTGCAATATAATTTTATCTGAATCATTGAGTTAATCTCCTGACCGGGTAAAAAACATCAGTGATATGGCTCTATTTAGACTTGGTTCAACCTACACAACGATGCAAGGTCAAATGCTGTTGTGCTGGGGACTTGTAATGGAGAATTGTGCTCAATATTTGGTGATTTTCCCTGTGTACCCCCCTCCCCGATCTATGGAGAAAGTAGCCCAGTTGGAGGGCTTTTTGTATATACTTAAAGGGAAAAGAGCAGCAAATGAGAAGGCTCAGATCACTTTGGAAGAATGATTTGTAGATAGCTAGCATCTGATATCACTTTGTTTGGGAAAGCTGAACTTCCTCAGGAGGCTTTCTTCCTCCTCCTCCTCCTCCTCCTCCTCCTCCTCCTCCTCCTCCTCCTCCTCCTCCTCCTCCTCCAGACCCTTCTGTTGGAATAAAGCAAGGGCAAAAGCAAGCAGGGCAAAAACGAGCAAATCATAGGAAATTCTAGAACTACTCTCATAGTTACTGCTCCTGTTTGACCCCAGAAGAAGCCCCCTAGAAGGTCYGGTTCCATTTGGGATCTCTGTGGAAGCAGCAATATGAGCCTAAAAGGTCTGATGGATYGTGAGTTGTARAGAGGCTTTGTTTCCAGTCTCCTTCCCTTTGCTCTGAATGCAGAGCAGTGTGCTAKAAAGAATGGGTGCTTATAATTAAAACCGAGCGTGCGACATGCATCTGTTTAATTTAGTATCCCCAGTCAATGCATGCAGTAATTTTAATTAGCTTGTTGTTCAGCCATCTGTTCATTCTGAGAGCTTTAATTGCCAAGCAGCACCTGCTGGAAATGTAGTGTAGTCCTAGTCCATCAGCATTTTTTCCTTTTCAAATCAAGTACTTCAAAAATGGGAGTGCTTGGCTTTCAGAACTTCCACCCATCTCAGATTTTTGTTTCTTTCAGCCTCCACAGAGCCGTGTGAAATATTTAAGTTTCCTTTCCTACATATGAAACTCCATTCTTTATGTATAGTACTAACAGAATTATTGTTTTTAAAACATTACAAAAACTATTCTATTTATAGCTTTAATCACCTTGATAACAAAGGTCTTCTAAAGGATTACTAAAAGTACTCAGAACTGCTGGTTTGGAAGCCAAGTAATTGTCAGGTTATAGTTAGTCACATGTCTAATCATCACCTTCCTTCATGGATTAACTAGAGCAACTCCTGGTTTTTTGATAGGAAGGCGCAATGGCCATTTTTTTGCCAGTCCTCTAAATGGGCTGCTTTCTTAAGCTCTTAGTGCATCTAGCACTGTCAGCTATGCTCATCCTGATGATGGACTTTAAGTTCCATAAGCCCCACGTAGATGGCCAAATATGTAATTAGGAGTAATAAGATTTGACAATCAAATCCAGAGGGCAACAACTTCTTCATCATAGATTTACATGTACATTTGTCTTTCTTCCATGTTTTTCAAATACCTAAAACAGACCTTTCTTTGTTTCAGGGAACAAATGAAGTTCTACGAATGTATATTGCTTTGACAGGCATGCAGTATGCTGGCAAAATCTTAACTGAAAAAATAAAGTATGTGATTTTTTAAAAAAGTAACCATCTTAGGTAAATTAGTTTGAAAATTGGTCTGTGGGGATAGCACAGAAGAAAGGGACTGCATCTAAGCTAGTAGTGAATATTTATTTCTGTCAGTGACCAGCATTAGATAAGCTAGTGGTATTTAGAATGTTTAACCTAAACTAGAAATAAGACTTGTATTTATACAATTTTTAAAGTGCTGTGTAGAGTTTAAATTTTATTCGTTTTAAAACGAAACCTTGTATTTTCTTTTAGTGTCTTGTAAATACTCCAGTACTGTCCAGAAACGTATTTATTATAGCCAATAATCACTGCTGTTCTCGTAAGCTTCATTGAATTCTGAATGTTATGGGTTTACATGCCAGCAGTGAGGCCAGATATTTTAGGGACTTGGTGCCATATTGGGATGGTTAGTGCCTGTCATATAGTTGTTGGATGTGATGTGTCATGATGTAGTTTAGGCCATGGCTTTCTTTTATATATTGCACCCATCAGCAACAGGAACCTTTAACACTGCCAAGCAATCATTTTCTTTTAAACCGCAAGTAGCACTTGAAGTGAATTGTTTCAAGTAAAAAGTACATGCAAGGATAGATATGCTGCATTTGGAGAGGAAATCATTCAAGAGTTTTGGTGCTTCTTGTAAAAGAATGAACTGAGTGCAACAGCATGAGAGAATATTGGAAAAACAGCCTCATGCTGAAGTAGTGTCTCTGTCCCAAATTTCACAGGGAGATTAAGAGGGGGAATGTGACAGTGGCATTGAACGTGTTTTTCAACAAGTTCCGCGACAGCATGGGCAGAAAAGTCGATCTAGGATTAGTTGGAAAAGATGGAGTGGTGCATCCCAGTCTGGAAGTAAGTGTTCCGTCAATCAGTAGCTGGCATTCCTAAAGGATGTTTTGAACAAAAATGACACTCTTTGGCCTTCTTACTACTAGTTTGTAACCTCCATGGAAGAACAAAGAAAGCTGCCTCCTATCAGACCATTACCATACTCAGTGTAGTGTGCACAATCCAACAGTAGCTTGCCGGGATTTCAGGTGCAAATTCAGTCTTACCTCAGGGTGCCCATAAAATAGCTGCCACCTTAATTGAAGGAGGGACTGAGGAGTCACTTTTATTAGTTCTTCCTTCCCCTTTGGCTCCCTGACCTTTTTGAGAAGTTGCTCTTGAGGGTTAGGGGACTCTATGGAGTAACATGAGAAGTGATACAGGTGCTCAAAGTGGGGTATGGAAATGGTAATGATCCCCTTCTTAGACCATTAATCCCATGGAAAATCTCTCCTGGGTTCTTTTAAACAGGAGGGGTCAACCTGGTCCCAATCACACTGTGCTAGCTTATGGTTTTACTTTGGTCATCTGCCAATAATCTTTTAATAATGGCAGACTATTACTATTTGAAATAGCCCAGGACACACAGATATCTATCTTACTAACAGATCTCATAGCAGCCTAGCAGTACGCACTAACGGTTCTGGAGGAGACCCCCCCCTTTTGGGGGGGGCAGCTTCCTCAAGTTGAGGTTGTAAGTGGGTTCGGAAGGGGGTACTTGGCAAAAGGGCACTGGCAAAGCCTTACATTCTGCAAGTAATGAACAGGATCTCAGCCAGTGTGATCTACTGAAGTAGCAAGTCTCCCACTAAACTTGGGTCTCAGCGTCTGAAAGCCTCAGGCTGAAATCCAGTTCCTTGAGGAATACCAGCTGGCTCTCCAGGTGCCTGAGATTTCAAAGATTGGGTTTATCCATAATTTATTTTTCCATGTGTCTAGAATATGCAAAGCCCTAGTTGGTTTTGTTTTGTTTGTTTGTTTGTTTTTTTGCATGTGTGCTTTGCAGGAAAGTGCCAAGAAACTTGAAGAGAATGCTTATTATTTTGGAGTTACAGTTGAAGGCTTGCTAAGAAGGTTTGGCAAGGTAAGCAGGACTCTCTTACAAGTGGGAGAAGAAGACCGCACCCCATCCTTCACCCCAGTTTGGTCAAAGTGAACATTTGAAACCAAACCCTCTTCTAAGCCCAATGATTTTCTTCATAGTGCATACTAAAGAGTATGAGAGATGGCACTTCTGTTCAGCTTCTCATTAAGATTGAGAAAGGAGTTACAGAAACACCTTAATCAATAAATGGAAGTGTATGTATGAGGAAGTAAATCAGTTGAATTTATTTTCTCCAATAGTCTGGGCCGTCTTAGTACAGCCTTAAAGAACTTCACAGCTTCTTCATTTACAAATGCAAAAACTGAATTTATGAAGGGGGTGTGTTTCGAGGGTTGGGAGATCCTAATTAGAAACCTGTAAAGCCAACCCCTATCCTAATATCCAGAATTGAGGGAAATTGTTTAAGAACCAAGAGTCACATTCCTGTTACTAAAAGGCTTGCTTTTTATCAGACTATTGTAGATGAACAGATGGTTCTTAGGAGAGTGGCAGACATCCTCATTAATCTGTATGCAATGACAGCAGTTATATCCAGAGCTAGTCGATCTATCGCCATTGGTTTGCGTAATCATGACCATGAGGTGAGTCTACATTGATATTATACAACACTTAACTAATATAGTGGTGACTATAAATGAAAACTGTATTAAATAAGGAGAAAATCCAAATTGCTTTAAGAGATCCTGATTCATTTTGATTACATTATCAATAGAAGTGGGAAATTCTCAGGTTCAGAACTGTATGGTTGCAAAAAAAAATAGTATTTTGTGTAAAAATCCAGATCAGGCATGAGCAAACCTCTGCCCTCAGACTTCAACTCTCACAATTCCTAACATCCTACTGGAAAACACTTAGGGGGCCGAAGTTTGTCCATGCCTGATCCAGATCTTTCTCACCCACCACCCCCACATTGATGGGAACTATCTTGACATGTGGGAAGTACAAGACTTAAGATCCTACATCATGAAACAAAGTTCCAAACATATGGATCTATAATGTACTTCCTGTCATGTATCCCTAACCCCTTTGACCTGTTGCAGCAACCCCACCACCACAACTAGTCATCAGTCAATGGAGACAAGGCCAGAAAAGCAAAGAAACATCTAGCTCTAGCAGCAGTTCTCAACCTTTGGTCCCCCGGTTGTTTTGGACTTCAGCTCCCAGAAACTCCAGCCATCTTACCAGCTGTTAAGAATTGTGGGAGCTGAAGCTCAAAACCCCTGGAGGACCAAAGGTTGGGAACCACTGAACTATAAAAATGTGCTCTTCTAGAGGTCCAGGAGGGTGATGTCAGTGCTGGACATCCAGGCACAGGAAAACAGCTTAACACTTTGCCAGACACAGCCTCCCACTAGCCAGGAATGCAACTCTTGTGCTGGTGGGGGCACTGCAGCAGCTAAAGGTTCAGGAGGGGATTTAGTGTTCACAACATCCAAAAATTAATCGTGGAGATGGAAGTCAGGTCTTATGTCTGCATCACTCATGGGATGACAATCAAACTTAGATGGGTTCCTGCTTAGTCTCTCAGTAACTATTGGATAAAGGGAACCTCTGTATCAAAAGGTTTTGTGTCTGAGCATCTAATGATGGGACCAAACAGAAGATGTCTGTTACTCAGCTTCCAGTCTATTTATGAAATTACTGTGTTTTGTTGTTAATGGGAAATTGTAAACAGCCTATGTGAGGTTCTAGTCTGAACTACTGAGACCTTTATTCTGACTTGAATATTCAGCCATGCATGTCAAAACATTAAGAAATACACCATAGATAATTAAACTTAAGCAATTTAATACTATACAGAAGAAATATTAAGTTCAAACTGTTAAGATAAAAGTGTAAACAGGAAATTCTGTCTGCAGCCACGATTCTTTTCTAATCACTTTGTTCATGTTTTCATACTTCACTCACTGAATCTTTCTTCTGTGGGGCAACAGTCACTGAGAATAAAGGAATGGTGGAGAAAGATTATTATTTTATGCTTCTTTGGCAAGTTCCATGCTATATCTGAAATACAAAGGGTTAAATTCTTAAGCATATTTCAAGGCTTGAAACTGTTAATATTTTAAATGATTTTTTAGGTGCTGCTTACAAATATATTTTGTACTGAAGCTGCTTTCCAGAATACCTATGCAATGGCAGAGTTGGAAAAATGTAAGTGTACCAACTGAGGCAAATACTATCATTTTATAATCCCAGTTGCAGTGTATAAGGGGGGGGGGAATCTTTGCTGAAATGCAAAAGATGTAGCAAACTCAAATCAGCCCTCCTGATGCCATTTCTGTTCACAGGAGATGCATTTAAGTCTATACTAAGAGCCCCGGTGCCAAAGGAGGCCTTTGATACTTCCCCATTATATCCTCTTTCTCATAATTAGTACTAATGTGACAGATGCTGCTACCAGCTCAACAGCTTGTGTTTACAGTCTTGGGTTTTAAAAATTCTGTTTCTCTCATTTAGATGTGGCTCTAAAGGAATTGTTACTTCTGTTTCTATTATTTCTAGTTGCTCCTGAAAACATGGATGACAGTATTAAAAAAGTGGCAAAGCAAGTGCTGGAAAAGAGATCCTATATTTGTTCCCATCCTCTCGACAGAACCTTCTGAAGGCTGGGAAACAGCAATTGAAGTGCTCCTTTTTAAACATACTAATGGTTGAACTAAATCCTTCTTGACTAAGAAGCCAAATGAATGAGAGACATTTTATGAAACATAATCTTCAAAAGTGCAATTATAAAATAAATTGTGTTAATTCTTTTATGCCTGAATAGAGCTGACAAGAATCCACCCACTGCCGTGGAGTGTACAAGGAGGCCCTCCAAAGTTGTTGGACCATAATGCCCATCGGCCATAATCAGGATAGTAACGAGTGAGAATTTCTGGGAATTGTAGTCCAACAACCTTTGAAGAGGGGTACACCCCAAGCGCAGTCTGTGTGCAGCAGAGAATGACAGGATTGAGAACTTACGAGAAAACAATTGGCTGCTGAATATGCTCGGCCTGAAAGAAAAGCTATTAAGGGGAAAGACAGTAATGGTCTAAAACGGAATCAGCAGACGGAGCAAGTCTTGTTTTCTCTTGTTCCAGAAGACAGGACTACAATATTCAGTAGAAATTTCCGGGATGTAATCAAACCTTATCAAGCCATAAAAGAAGAGGGGGGGGGGGAGGGAGCAAACACTGGATTGTGATGTCGGGGGATCAGTGGGGGCGTGGGGTGGGAAGAGAGAGGAGGATGACCGGGGGGGATGGGGGAGGTGTGGTCCCATGGGGAGAGGAGAGAAACACTGGATGTGATGACATACTTTGTCACACACTAATTCCTCCCCCCCCCCCCCCCAATTTTACCTGCATCATGCACATCTTCCGGCAAGATTTGATTTTTGAAGGCTGCTTGCTTAGTGGGCAACATCTTATGCTGAAATGAATGTTTATGACAGACTGTTCTGAAACACAAAATATTCATGAATTGGAATTACGTTAAATACAGGGTTAGTCAAAATGAATAGGCCAATAAGAAAATTAATTTTAGACGAATGTATGTTTATTGTAACCAAACTACAGCTACGTAGCGACAGATAAACTATCAAAGTTTTGTCTCACCTTCAGAGATGTTCGATATGGGCGCCCCGTGTGACACGGCAGATGTCCAAGCGATAGTCCAGTTCATTCCACATCCGTTGCAGCACATCCGACGTAATGGCATCGAATGCAGCAACGTCTGGGAAGGTGTTCGTTGAGGTCCTAACCCTAACCCTAACCCTATCCCTAACCCTACCTATCCCTAACCCTAACCCTAACCCTTGAAATTCTCGCTGGACCGTAATTACTGACATTGTTTTAGCAAATGTCATCACACAAAACGCCTTCTCTTTGCTTGATTCCGCCATTTTGAAAACAGCGACCCCTAGCGACGCCTAGCGGCATTAACGTACATGTGTGTTGCTCAAAAAAAAACTTTGATAGTTTATCTGTCGCTACGTAGCTGTGGTTTGGTTACAGTAAACATACATTCGTCTAAAATTAATTTTCTTATTGGCCTATTCATTTTGACTAACCCTGTATATGCCAAAGATATATAGTGTCTTAAGATGCTGAATATTCACGTTGATTAATTCAAGTTCTTATTTAAACATGCGTGGTACAAAACATTTATGCAGTGTGTGAGGCTTGAGGAGAGGTTAGCCAAACTTCTCCAGAGATAAATGCAGAGCTCAATTTTCTCCAATTTATCTAAAATAAAGATGTAAATATAATTTTAAACAAGTTTTGGAACAGCAGACTGCCCATATGACGTAACTCTTGGGATTGTTAATCCTGCTGAGATGAGGAAGGTTGTCATATTACTTTGACTCAAGACTCAATCTCCTGTTAAAAGGGTAATATAATAAAGGTGGTGCACGTATCTTTTCACAAAGCAGGACTTCATGTTAAAGGTATGGAATGTTATCTGCTAAAATATTTTAATGATGAAGTCTTGACAATTATTTTCCACTTCCATCAAGGGTCATTCTACCAAGAGGAGAAGGCGCCCATGCTGCCCACTTCCCAACAGTGTCTCCTCTCCTTTTCCTCAACAGAAAGACTTTTCTTTATGTACACATACTCACTCTTTCTTTCTCACGTACTGGTGCATATGTATGCACACATTTATCTGCTGCAGCTACTGTGCATGAGAAGGGGAAGAGGGGGAATGAGATGCAAATATGGATCACAAAGGAAAGAATAAGAACTGCCTTAGGGGTGAAGGAGCCACCACTTCTTCCCTGGAGTCAGGTGCTTTATACCAAACATCACTGGAGTCCGTGGGGGGGAGGGGGTGATTGCGCTTTACCTGCATGGCAGGGTGTTGGACTAGATGGCCCATGTGGTCTCTTCCAACTATATTATTCTATGGTTCTATGAAAACAAGAGACTACTCTGGATGAGAAGAGGTGAAATGGTTAACTTGCCCACTAGATGCAAACGGGCTAAGAGTGGGTCTGTCTCCCCTTGCCTTTCCTTATTCACTCCCACTCTAGCCACCCAGTCTCCTCCATAAACAAGATATAACAATGTAGACTTCTGCCCATGTTGGGGACCAGCTTTCCAAAAGGAAATTAGCATAGCAGCAAATGAGGGAGGACAGTCTTCTTCTCCTATTCATGATGCCCTAGTGATGTCATCTCTCCCTCCACACACACATACACAGGCCTGCACTCACCTGTTCTAGTTCTGGCAGCAGTGCACTCCTCTAATACCTGGGTGGCGGGGCTAGTGGCAGCCCTGTCAGTAACTCCAGAGCACCCCTATAGTCTGATTGGCTGCCCATGGACCAGAGAAAAGGTGTCAGAAACAGAACAGGTATATGAGCACAGGACCTTACAATTGAAACAGCAATGATGGTATGGCCACAACAGCAGGTGAGATGGAGACAGCATAGGCGGGGGGGGGGGGGGGGGGGGGGAGCGCTCTTCTACTTACTTGTGGGCAATCCAGAAAGGAGAGTGCAGGGTTTGTGGAGGAGGCCCTTAGGAGTGGCATCATGTGTCCCACAGAAGTTAGGAAATTCTGGAGGTTGCAGCAGTGATCCCCACACACATATACTTATTGAGGCCACTGTGCAAGCATTAAAAAAGACCAGAAGTGATGCCAAGTTGAAGAAAGTACATCTGCTAATCCATGTATAAGTCGGCCCAGGTTTGTTGGGTTGATTGTCTATTTTTTTTTTCAACTTAAAACATGAGTGCATATAAGTAATTCAGAAGGAAGCAGCTGTAACTCTTTAAATGCATCAGTAAGTTTTTACCGTTTTATCTTGTCATGGCAATTGAATAACTTACCTGAAGTCAGCTCCTTTCAGAGTTTTAAATACATTGTGTTGCCGGTCATAGCATGGAATTATATTGATATTTGCCATCAAGCCTAGGTGAGGATCATCTCCAGGAACATATCCTTTACCATATCTGACCTCTACCACTTCATCAAATTTCTCTGTAACTGGAGTAGGCTAACAAAACAGAAGCAGCAGGTGTCACAACACAGCTTTTTGATTTCACTGATCAGTTTTGTAACAACATGGAACTAGATGTTCATTTCAGCCTAAAACTCTTACATTAAAATATACTATGTTGTAAGGTTGCAGCTGCAGGTTAATACCTAAAGAGTGAATTGACACAAAATCTTCAAACTCTTTATTCAAAGACATGTTGGTATTATAAGCAGCAAATATACCATAAGACTAAAATTTTATATTTGACTGCTCCACTGACAGAATCAAAACATTGAGGAAACCATATGAACTCAGTATGCTCTGATAATATGCTGAGAACAGTTCAATTTTGGATTGTTGGGTTTGTGAGTTCCAAAAGGTAAGCTTACCTGCATCTTTAGGGCCAACTTCATAGGTTTGTCCTTTAGAAGCCCATGGAAACGGTCAAGCTGGCAGCTGGCTTTTGGTCCCCTTTCAGTGAGCTCAGTGGCTGGGCAGCGCCTATAGACTTTCAGAGCAGTGTTGCAACAGATTTCTTTCTTCGGTTCTTTTGTCCAAACGTGTCCATTGGAAAAACAAGAACAGAACAAGATTATGAAATAGCTATCAGATAACTTCATTCAGACTTTATAAAAGAAAATAAAAGCTGGTATCTCTTGTCCATGTAATTTTTCAAATTTCTTTCAGTGTATGTAATTTTCAACCTGTTTTAATGATACCACAATTTGAGATCAGAACAAAAAGGTGAAAGGGGCAAAGCAATGGCAATGCATTAATAGTGGGCAAAATTACCGTAATGCATTAACAGTGAGCAAGCATCACCTCACCCCATTAGTGCTCTTTATGCTTGGACCCATTAATTGTAAAAAGTTCAAAGGGGGTGATGACTTAGTGGCACTTGAGATGCTGTTACTGTCTGTAACTCCTACCATCCTTCAATAGTGCCTGTATTGGCCATGACTGAAGGGAAGTCCAAACCATGGAGTGGCAATGTGTGCATATTCTCCACTCTGGCCTAAAAGGTTTTTTAAACCAATAATCACTTTAGAACATTGCAGTGGTGTTCCTGCACAGGAGCAAAGCCCATTTGTGTGTGGTGCAGAGAGGAAGTTGTTTCAATTGCAGTGGAAAAAAATGGATAGCAGCACAAAGTAGCAAAATAAAAACCACCCATCTATAACAAGCACCAGAAAGCAAGGTTCCCTTCACTTATTAAAAGTGCGGTGCCACGGTTTCTGTTTCTTGATTCTATAGCACTTTCACCACAAATGAAAAGCTTCTGACCATTAGATCCAAAAGTGAAGGAGAAATGCTGGGGCCATTCTACATTTTATAGCATTGTTAAGGGATGCAGCCACTAAAATGTGAATAAAACAGCTGCCAGTATGGTGTGGTGGCTTGTTTGTTGGACTATAAGGCCTCCTGGGATTAAGGTTCAAATGCCTGCTCACCCTTGCAAGCTCACTGGACAACCTTGGGCAAGTTAATGTCTCAGCCTTAGAGGAAGGCAGTGGCAAACCCCATCTTAAAGAAAAATCATGCCAAGGAAATCCTGTGATACGGTGACCCAAAGATGAACTTAAAGGTTTGCAACAATGTATTTTTCAGTCACTGGCGAGGTTGACATTCTCTTCCTCCCTCTACAACAGCCAAAGCACAAAACACACACATGGACACACCACTAAATCCTCCTCAGGCCATTCCATTGCAGAGGAGATTGTAAAGTTATTTGCCTATGTTCCTATAACTAGATGCAGACCAACTGCATCATCTGCTAAGACCTCTGAAGACACCAATGGATCTTGGTTGAAGTAGCTGTATGCCTACATCTGGCTATGGGGATGTGGCCAGATGCTTTTCCAATCTCTCCTTTCCATTAATACCAGAATGGCAGCAAAAGTGTCTACCATACAACTGTCAGTCCTGAAGGAAAGCCACATGCTTCACTCTTAGCCACAGAGTATCTTCCTGCACAGAGCATCTGCTGTAATACCCCTTCCACTCCCTGCAGAAGACAACATATCCAGCATCATAGCCTTAGTGGCAAGGCAATGTCTGGGTAGTGTCCAGCTGCAGTTCCTCTATTGAGAGAAGAGAACAGACACTACTCTCTTGGAACCTCAGTTTTGAGGATCACAGGGTGATCTCTTGTATTCACCTAGTTTCAGAACTGCAACTACATAGATGTCGCTTGCTTGTGCACCCCATACTACCCCCACCACACACACAAACACTAAATGATAGTAGTTCTAGTGAAGTGAAGTTGCCTTGTATGGAAGGGACTGCATACAAGGAGGGGCTGAATACATCCTGTAACATCCCCAAAATGATTCCAAGTGATTTAACCATTGGTTACATCAAGATCTCAAGCTTTCTCTTGTGATGAGTCAAACTACTGGGATGTCTCACAAGCAGGTGGTATTAGGAATGGGTCATCTAGAACTTCTAGATGCTACAGTCTCCTGCTTCCACAAATACCAGACATCATGGCCAGTGCTGCGTCGCCGCAATCCAGAAATGTCTGGAGGGCCATGGGCTATAAAATGTGTGTGCTGGTTGAATACCTAATCTAGGAGCATTTGTGTGCCCTGTTAATTGAATAGAAGACCCCTTAGCAGTAACTACATAAGGAACTTGTTATTTAGAAGAACTGACCAAGCTGAAAGTAAGTTATGTCAAGCAGGACCTTTGACTGGATCAGTAAATATTTCCTTACATTGAGTAAAGTCACCACTGAAGTGTTTTAAAAAGCCACTCTTAAGAGGAATGGGGAACTGTAACAAATACCTTCTCTGTGAGGGTCAAAGGTCACAGCAGGAAGTGGTGGTTTTTTGTAAAGCTCAAAATCTTCATCGCGTTTGTCCCAACTCCATCTCTCTCGATCCAGAACTGGCTTCAACCACCCAGCATTGAAAAAGTTCTCTTGCCATTTCTACATGAATTGCAATTGTTTAGAATCATTAACCATGTTCTGCAAATTTTCACAACAATATAATATTGGAAATACAACATTTACTGAAACGGAAGGTACATTCACTAAGCAATTCCTTGATGCTGAATTATGAATGAATAGATGACATGCTTTGATACTGGCCTTTGTGAACACCTGAAAACTAGGTTCTTGTGGGTTTTTTCGGGCTATAGAGCCATGTTCTAGAGGCATTTCTCCTGACGTTTCGCCTGCATCTATGGCAAGCATCCTCAGAGGTTGAGAAAACTCTTTATCCAAAGCACCAGTGCATTGGTTCCAAGCTACCATTCTGCACTGTTTCGGAAACAGCAGTTTGCCATTGCAGCAAATATATTGAAATTTGGGGGTACTTACTGTGGCATGGAAAGCAACAGGTCAAAGCAAAGCCTTTCTTAAAATGTTCGTACTTTGAGTGTTTTACTGGGGTGCCTTTATTTTGGTTAACTTTTAATAAATAGAGAAATATGGAAGCACAGGAAATTATATCCACTATGCATTGCGGGGCATTAAGCCAATGGCACTGATAGGCCAAAAGGACTGCAATGACAGTGCCATTAAATTCGTATGCATCTCTTTTTTAACAATATTAAAGCCTCAAAATCGGGGGTCAGGGCAATCTTCATTTTGCCCAGAATCCCAAATGCCAAGGAGCTTGAAAGAGATGGATTGAAATGCAGATGTGAAATCCATTCTCATGCCTATTTAATAAAAGTGGTTCCCACTGACTCATGCATAGATTCTCATTTTCTGTTCCCAAATGAACAACTACAAAGGCACAGACTTTCTTCATAATGAAGATCTCATTGAATTGCCTAAAAAGAACTTTTGCTTTATTTTCAATAGTGATAGACTCCCCCAGTTACAAATAGTTAAAAGCTACAATGGCTTTTAAAGTAGGAAAAAGGGAGTATATACCTGGCATTAGAAGAAACTTCTGACAAGACATTTGGGAAAGATATTTCTTAATCAAACCCTTCCTCTCACACAGCCACAACTGGCCTGGTTTTCAATGATAAACTCAATATCAGATTAGGCATTTGCAGAAAGAGGGGCCATGAGGCCTCCCTTCCACCTTTAACTCTATCTCCCATGGGATGGGCCACTATAAGATGTGACAATTCAAAAAATAAGGTCTGACACCTCTTTTAGCTCCATCTGCCGTGCCTCGTCTGGCATACGAGGATGCCAATTAGATTCAATACTGCTCTTAAATCCGGCGCATACAAATCCTTCTGGTGAGAGCCACTTCTTCCTTGACAGCTCCATGGACTCCTTCCGTGCATTATCTTCATCCACCGGTGCAAACATACCAGAGAGATAATTATGACTGTAAGCAAATCTCTGTTCTCGAACCTAGAGCACAGACATATTTCGAATGTGACCATAGACTGTCAACTTTAAGGGGGTTTACCAGGAAGGTCTGTAGTAAACCAATGATTTTACAAGACTTTGAAAATGAACATACTGTTCAGCTCTACTCTGACAGCAAATTCTTATAAAAACTTCTACCACAGAGCTTTCCAAACATTTCATGTTGGCGGCACACCTTTATAGATACACACGTTTTGCAACACAGTAATTCAACTGTGAGCAAACCAGAAGGAGAACCAACCCATTCTAAGAGATACAGACAAATACATAAATTATACTATGTATCAAAATTTGAAAAATGTTCTGTTCCAGATTTGAAAGTGTTATTTCCTGTTTAATTGTGCAATACTTACTTTGTGCAGTACTTACTGCCACAAACTATGTTGAATTGGTTGAGACTATGAGATATTCATTGTTAAACTATAGCAAAATGTGTTGCAGGATGTCCCGCAAAAACCAAGTTTTTGCAGTTTAATAATTTTTTTCCTGTTTTAAGAACAAATTTAGAAATGACATTAAAAAATCCAATGTATTGCTGATTTCACACAGACCTTATTTCACACCTACAAACTGCAGCTGACACATAAACGTCTCTCAACACACAGTTTGGAAAGCTCTGTTCTAGCATATGGCTATTACAGATGTATGGGCAGTGATGGAAGAGCAAAGTTAACTAATTTTACTACTTTCCATTGTACATTTGCTGTAATAGTTAACTAGGAACGGTCCTTATTGCATTTGCCACACAAATCTCCTGAAGTGACTAGCCCTTCAAATCCACCCAATCTAAATATATGGATTCAACCATCCATGGCCTGAAAATATCCCCCCCCCCCAATTCATCCAAAAAGCAAAATTTCATTTTATTATTTTGTATAAGAAACATTATTTTATAATCATCATCATCATCATCATCATCATCATCATGACTGGTTTGACTCTGAAGGAGCTAGGGGTGGTGACGGACAACAGGGAGCTCTGGTGTCGTCTGGTCCATGATGTCACGAAGAGTTGGAAGCGACTGAACAAATAAACAACAACAATAATAACAACTTTATTTTTATACCCTGCCTCCATCTCTTCTAAGGGACTCGGGCCAACTTACAAAGGGACAAGCCCAGGGAGCACAAAGTTAAAAACATAACACAATAAGATAGCATCAAAACAAAACCAAATAGTATCACAATAAAACATAACATCATAAAAACGGTACCATACAGAATGATAACTGTACAATACAGAATGATGCCATTGTATATCGTGGGACTTGAGCATCCACGGATTTTGGTAACCACGGGGGAATCGTGGAACTAAATTCCAGTAGAGACCATAGGTCCACTGTGGATCTATGTAGCCAGTTTCCCCTCCTCCCTGAAAATGATATATTAACTGGGGTCCTCTACTGAATGGTACAAAGTGTTATGGAATAGCAAAGGGGTATTCCTGAAAATTGATCAGTGGCAACGTCTGTCCACAGAAGACAGATGGTGGATCCAGCCTAGGTATTCAGCTACGAGCATACTCTATATCACTGGTTCCCAACCTTTTTTTGACCAGGGACCACTTGACCAGGGACCACTTTAACTAGGGAGCACTCTCCAATATTAGTACCAAAAGGGTTACAAATCAGTTTCTGGCCAACTTCAGATTCGGTTTGGTTATTTGGGATGCTGATTCAGAACCTGACATTGGATAGACCACATAAGCTCTAGTTTCTGATACAGAAAATATGCCTCCAGTGGTCACCATCTGCTTGCCCACAGAAATCTAGCTGTGAACTTTATTTTAGGTCTCACAGCCCACCTGTGGCCCACAGGTTGGGAACCACTGCTCTATATTCTCCAGTAATTGCACACACAGTAACTGCACATATAGAAATGCTAGAACATTTGAGGTATTTCAAATTTATCTGGCTAGTTAGTAAATACTGAACTAGGAACCACATATGAATACTAAAGAAAGCCACAAGTGTATCATGACACACAATAATAATTTAGAAATATCTGAATGCCCTGCTTATGTCAAAATGGACTGTTAGTTAGAATCCCATGTCTTAAAGAAAGCTTTATAAATTCCATAAAACGACAGCTACCTTTGCTCTTAATTCACGGAAATACACTTTGAGTGTTTTATGAGCATGTCATCTTAATACACAATCCAAAAAAATAAATACAGGCATCCAGTGAACAAACACTGGATGGGTGCAATGGGAGGACTTATTTTTGTATGCAATTTATTTGAACAAGGTCTATCCTGACTGATAACAACCATTCGATTTTGATTGTAATATATCCATGCATCTTCCAGTCCTTTTAATTTACTTTTTAATTTACTTAATGTTTTAATTTGCAGTAAAACATAGATAACAAAGAATGCTATCTGGCTGATCTCTCACCTTTGCCATCTCCAGTCGAAGGAGGTTCTTTGTAATTTCTGCAGAATTCAAGGCCTGACAACTGTAGTTGAAGATGGACTTGCCATCAGAAGGAAAAGCCCGGACGGTTTGGGGTACTTCCCTTCTCATCATTTTGTTGAGCAGGTTCAAGTTCTCAATATTACCCTGGAAGAAACACGAACTGGTCCTATATAACTCCTATTAGCAAAAATAATGCTGCTCTGAAAATAAACATGGGACCACTACTATAGGTAACCAAACTCCCAGGTAAGATAGCGCCAAGATAAACACTACAGCACCAAAGCAAAGCCAGACCTACACTTTTAGAAAAAACATTAACCACAATGTTCACAATAGGAGATGACTCCCTGGGTTAGACACCAATCTACAGGGAATTGAAGAAATGTGGGTTTAAAATAGGGGCCCTTTCACGCTGCCCTTTATCCCAGGATCTGATCCCAGGTGATCTGCTTTAAACTGGAATGTATGAGTCCCCACTGCCAGATAACCTGGGCTATACTTAGAGCACAGATATCTATATAACAGGTTTCAGAACTCTTCTCTGAAACTATTACAACTCCTTATGTAACAAACGGTCCTCCAAGAAACTTAAAATTGATTTTTTCAACCATCAGGCCGATCCTGTCAACATACTGGACCTCTGAACTGCCTTTATTAAGAGGAGATTGATGTCTCTCACCTTAAAATGTATGTAAATACAGACACCTACTTGTAATAGAGATAAGACTTGTATTTGAATGTTGGATATATTAAAAAAACTATTACATAACAGCATATTTGATATTTCAATAATTTATCCTGGGATAAAGGAGCAGTGTCGAAGGGCCATAGTTGTAGATGATGGGCCAGATACCAAAGATTTGAGACTGACCTGTAGTCTACCAACTGCTAGCTAGTTTTCTGCTGAGATAGTAATTTATCCTTGTGTATCTTGGAACAAATTCTCCTCGTAGAGATGTTCAATGTACTGTTGAAGACTTTCACGGTCAGAATCACTGAAGTTTTGTGTAGTTTCCGGGCTGCATGGCTGTGTTCTAGCAACATTTTCTCTGAAGATGCCAGCCACAAATACAGGCAAATTATCAAGTGCCACTGAGCGCAGTAGTACTAACTTCTGAGTAAAATATTTACCATTGCACATACACATGCTGATAATATACAAGATGCACATGGGAGGGTTTTGTTTATGTATGGCATCAGAATGAGATTTTTCGTCCCAGGAGCACTTGACACAATACTTTTGCAAGTTTGTACTAAAACTGTGTTTGTGCACATCTTCAATTTGCCTGTTAACTGAGGCAACCTTATAAATTTCAGAGGGTTTTCTTGGGCACGAAACACCCAGCCGTGGCTTTGCCAGTTATTCCTTCAGAAATGTAACCTGCAGTGCCTGGTATTCATCGGCAGTTCCCATCCAAGTACTAACTGGGGTAACCCTGCTTAGCTTTCAAGCTCAGACTGGATATGGTGCATTTAAGGTATTTTGGCCTTACCAGTACTGTAGATTGGATTAAAAGGGGAAAAAGCATGCTCTGGGTACATATGTTTGCATAATGTATGCTGATGTCTAGGTAACAATCCTCCATGCACATGATGCAATATCACAGTTCCTTAACATTCTAGCACAAGAATATTGAAATAATCTCAGTCTTACACTCACCTGAATATAGTCTTGTGGAGTCCGATTTTCCATTTCTCTTTTTCTCAGTATGTACTCTTCATTCTGGTTATCCAAAGGGGAACGCATATCTCGTCTCTTGTGCAAACACTTGACTGGAATACTAAATTTCTCTGAGATAGTTGTGTACTGCTCAATAAATAGGTCATCTTTACCAAGAGGAATGCCAAACTCTCGGCTCAGTATTGTAATCATTTCTGCAGAAGGCAAAAGATTGTGACGGATCACATCCCTTAACTTTGTAACCTGGCAGATGTAATCAAGCCTGGAGAAGAAAGAGATTTAATAGGAGGAAATGACAATGTTTTGGTCCACAAAAATGCAATGTTTTCTTTTAGATTAGTGTCAGAAAGAATAAAACTATTTTTTAAAATATCGTTTTATTTAGAATATGTGCTCTTAGAGAAGAGCATGATAGAAAAGTCTAAAATTCAGTTTTTATTACATACATTAAAAAGAAAGGAAACCATGAACAGGAATAAAACTATTCAGCATCACATCCTAAGAATGGCTCCATGACCAATATTCCCAGAAGGTAAAATAAAGGGTTGACATGTCCTCTGTTGTGCTTCTTCAAGATGTCCCTGACTTATGGTGACCACGTAGTGACCATATCACGGGATTTTCTGAGGCTGCACCACTGAATGGGTATGACTAATAGATGTTCAGCTTTCAGTAGCTGGAAAGGCGATCCAAGCAATGCTTCTCTTCATATCCACATATAGATGGAAATATGGCTATTTGGCTTAGGCTTACACCAAAAACAAATTTAGAAATGAATTGGATGCCACTTCATATTATTTATACATTCAGCGGTGAGACACAATACCATTTTCAAAACTATTTTAAGTACAAAAATGAAATAATTTCATTCATTGCTTTAGGTGTGAATTCAGTATTTTCCTGTACCAAAATAAATGTTTGTGGTTATAGCCAATATTATCTTGTAGCAAAATACAGGTTTGTGGTTATATTTAAAATGTTTCCTCTGTATTTTCAAACCTACTCCATAATACAAAACACCCAGGTAACAGAAGGGGTGAAAAAAAGGAAGAATGTTGTGGGTTCACAATGTTTAGGGGCCGAGTTAGGGTTGCATGGGAGAAAACAGTTTTCTGAAAGGTTCTATGGCTGAAAAGGTTTGGGAACCACTGATCTAGAAAGTGAAGAAAGCAATACTGTTGCCATTCCACAATTTTCATGGCCCCTCAGAAGCACCTTGTCATAAGAGGAACTCAGCATCCTTAATGGCTTCAACCTCCATTTATTGATGTGGAAAATGTATCCTGACAGCACTTATATTTCACAACATTTGGAGGTCAGTCTTCCATACTTGCATGTATCCACACTGTCACCCAACCATGAAAAGATGCGAACAGGTTCTGGGCATGATTAAGTAAACAATTTAAAGCAATATTTGGCTACATTTCAAAAGATACATTTTCTCAGTAGAGGAATAAATCTTCATTTTTTTACCATCACACATTACTCATGTGCCTTTACATATTGTCAGAGGTCAACAGCACGAACAGGTTGGTATTTTAAAAACCTTTTCACCCATTCCTTATGCCTCAGCAGAACAGTGTTTCGCCTTCATTACACCTATGATTTTGGTATCAAACCTACTAATCCAGTTTTTGAGAGATTGCCTCCAACCGTGAGATGCTGTCCCAATGCTTCACGCTAAATAGCTGCAAATGATGAGCAACAGCATTCAGTGTAATGTGCCCAGTTGTAAATACAACATGTGCCATCCAAACCTGAAAGAATTACATCATGTTCTGGGCTTGAGAAGGTTCCCTAATTTTGTATCTGTAGCACAGACATAGATATTGGCAGGCTAAGTGGCTCAACATCTAAGCAAATTTGTCAATGACAAACTCACAGTACATCTACACAAAAATACCACAGGATTACCTGGAGGACATAGCAAATTCTAGAGAGACTATTTTCCCCTCTGGGCAAAGAGATGAGTTTCATAGTTAAGGGGGTCTTACTGTAGCACTCAGTCTCAGGGGTCTTAGTTTGTAGACTTCCTTAAGGCTCAGTATAGCACCCTATACTTTTAAACATTTAAATAAAGTCACCTGGACTTTATTTAAAGGGTTTTGGTCTCATCACAATACAGTTTTATCTCACCTTTTCAACTAATTCAGGGAATGTGTCAAAGTCCTCAATCACAGATTGAATATGTGAACTATGGGAATGGATGGGAGGCATGTGAAATACCAGAGGTTTAATCCAGACAAAATGGAGGTTTAGCACACAGACCAATCTGGGATTAGGTTTACAATTTCTTCTGAATGTCGTATAATAGCAAAAAGTCTCAAATTCAACTACATCAAATTATTGAAGCAGTGTGCCATGATGCTTCCCTCCTAAGGAACATCCGGAAATACACTTGACTCCAGTCGTAATATCAGATATCATCCATATTGCAAATTTTAAAAATAATGCAAACATTCTTTTTCTGATAGGAGGTAGTGAAGAGAGAGCTTTAAACAGTATGTCAGAAATCCAAACACATGCTAACCTGATCAAAGCTTCAAAACATGGCTGAGGAACCATATCCCTGATATACAGCAATGACTGCTTCATGATAGTAGTGAGAGACTTGCAGAGGCGAATGTGATACACAATAGCTTCAAGATCTGTGTACAGGCGTTGATGAAAAGACAGCTGTGAGTTATAGAATATTTGTAATCTTCCACGTTTAGCTTCTTGCAATCTATAACAAACAAGAAAGAGGATTGCATGATTAATCAAATGTTTTATAATCTTATTTTCGAACTTCTATGTACTTTACTTTTCATCTTCCAAATAGAGGTATTTTATATGCATGTAATCCTCCTGTAAAATAAAAAAACAAGTACTAAATGATCAACAATTAATATATTTGAATAATAAATGTATATCTTATAACACTAAAACCTTTGTTCATTACAAACTTCACCTCTATGTTCTTTAAATAATAATAATAATAATAATAACAACAATAATAATAGTAATAGTAATAATACTTGATTTGTATTCCATCCTATCTCCCCGAAAGGACTATGTGCCAATTCCAGTAAACACAGACACAAGTCAAACATTCAATGCCTGGAAACAACAAACAAATGTAAAGGTAAAGGTTTCTCCTTGCTGCAAAATGGAATCAACAAACTACAAAGTGGAATCAATATATATATATATATATATATATATTCAATGTATATATGTATGTTTACTAGTTTGTATCTCAAAGTCTCCTACATGTTTTGGTGGATCTGGACCAAACTTGGAATGTATATCCTACATTATACAACTTAAAATAATTGAGGGATTCGAATTAAAACAACCCACTCTTTTCAGCTCAAGAGCAAAGGGAGAAAAAGGAACAAATGAGATTGGCTGTGGCTTAAATGTATATAATGATAATATTTGAGATGGGACCCAACTTGCAAACCAACCAATAGTAAATACAATAGACAGGTCTTGAATAACAATAATAATAATAATAGTAACAACAACAACAACAACAACAACAACTTTATTTTTATACCCTGCCACCACCTCGCCAAGGGGACTTAGGGCGGCTTACATGGGAACAAGCCCAAAATCACAGATAAAACAACAGCAGTAAAATCAATCAAATAAAAACACAACACAAGCACAACAACAATAACATTAAAACAATATAATGGCTGATAAACATAATCGGGCTAAGTCTGGGCTCAAGTAGCATAAAGAATTCTTAAGTAGAGCCGAGGGAAAGTGCAAAAATTCAAGTGTGCTAATCTAGAGAGAATACCTTGGCGATAAAATGTCAAGATTGGTGGGGTGGGCCAAACTAAAGTGCAGGAGTATAGATAACATTTATAAAAGTGTGTCATTCAAGATAGGCTATTCGACTAGATCCATATTTAGTCATAATTAAAGTAGGGCACTGAAAGAAATGATCTAAAGTTAGTCACACTGTCCAGGGGATAAGTGCTGTATATACTCCAGTATAAGCCAAATTTTAAGCTCTTTTTTTAAACTGAAAAAGCTCCCTCGGTTTATACTCAAGTCCAAGTTATTTATTATTTTACTCTATTTATTATTAGTACAACATTTACATTATTTTACTCTATTATTATTTTATTACATTTATTATTTTACTCTATTATTATATTTATTGTTTCACTCTATTTATTATTACACTTATTATTTTACGCTATTATTTTGTTATTATGACATTTATATTATTTTATTCTATGTATTATTATTATTACATTTATTATTTTAATGTATTATTACTGTTATTACATTTCCATTATTTTACTCTATTATTATTATTTTATTACATTTATTATTTTACTCTTATTATTGGAAGGATACATAAGCACATTTTCATTGAAGAAGGTTAGAATAATGATTTAATGAGTTGGACAGTCTTATCTTAAATTACAGTTTTATGTAAATATTCAAAAACATTTAACCTACTGATGCCTCAATTTAATATAATTTTATTGGTACCTATTTTTATTTTGAAATGTACCAGTAGCTGCTGCATTTCTCACCCTCGGCTTATGCTTGAGGCAATACATTTTCCCAGTTTTTTGTGGAAAAATTAGGTGCCTCGGCTTATACTCAGGCATATATGGTAACTGTCTTAACTGTAACATACCTGGATTTACTCTGTATGTAAGATATTAAAAAAAAACTTAACAGCATGAGGGAGGTGCAAAGCTTACTTGAAGCAGCAAGCAGAGAACAAAAAAATTACCATACATGAACCATTGGAAATGACGACAATATTACTTGCAATTCTCTGAAAAGCTATGAACCATATTCCGCCTTGGCCTTTAAAATTGCCTCCTCCATTCTCTATTCTGTTAATACAACTCTCCTTTAAAAAGGGGCAGTGGCCGAGACTGTCTTTGCAACATTGGTACATTAGAGCGTTAGCATGGAAGCATGAAATTGAAGTCCTTCATGACTTCTTTCTATTATCTTCCGAGCACCAGAGTGGTTTAGCTCAGGGAGGATTACTGAAGAGAAAGAAAAATAACCAAAGAATTACTGAAAAAAGACTGGTTTATAATCGCAAAATGAACAGAACAGGAACCTGTTGTTTCAGGACATTTGATTACGAACAGCTCAAATGGGTCGTAAAAGCTTATGAAGACTGAACAAGATGAGATGGTAATTGTGTTTTGCAATAGAAGAAATGACTTAAGAATTAAGTATCGGCGTTAATGTCTCACCTCTACAACAGCCCACTCCATAGCTTTCAACTTATGCTTTAAAAAGGATTCATGTGATTGACTTCCGGTGGACATGGCGACGGGACTGCCTCGCTGAGAGTGAGCTCCCAGCGAGGACCTGTGTTGTGGCGGCTAGGTTGAGCTGAATGCTCCCCCCTTTTGCCGGATTGAGTTTGCAAAGGTGCCGCGAATCCCAGTGTGGGCTTGAGACCCCAAAGATCTCCCCCCCTCAAGGAGGAGAGGTCGAGTGGGTCCGGGCAACACAGGGGAAAGCGAGCCGCCCCACGAGGATCGAACCGCAAGGTCCGTTTAACCGCCGCCGATCCATTCACAAATTAGAAGAAGAAGTTGAAATAAAGAAAGCCCAGATTGGGTGGAGAAGCAAGAAAGACCCCAGCAACAGGTAACGGGACAAGATCCCACACTTTTAAAGAATAAATAGCCAAGCCGTAAGGGCTTGGGGAAATAAAGAGAGAGAAGGAGATAAGAAGAAAAGAAGCCGCAGGATTTAAAGAGGAAGAGATCACATTTTTGGTCTCCGGTCTCTCGGTAGTAATATCTGATTGATTGATTAAAATATATACAAATTATAATAAAATTTAACTTAAATTGGCAATCTAAATTGATGAATTTAAATCATCGAAATTAGAGGCAAATTTAGAGGAAAAACCGCTCTGCTAAAGTAGATGAAAATGAAGACGAAGATGGAGTGATAGCCCCCCTTCGCATCCCCCCCGAAAATCTAAAAGAAAGTAGAAAACTGATAATATCTCCGACCTTGACGCCATAACTGTTGTGTCTATCTTCAGCCTTCTTTATAAACAAGTAGGCTGAGTTGGCGGGAGGAAGTGACGGAAACGGAAACGGAAGGCAGATTAAAGTGACGGACGAGAAGGTCGGAAGAAGCATAGAAGGGACAGAGGGGCGGAAGTGACGGGGCGGAAGGAGGGAAGACGCCATTTTGAAAACCATAGAGAAAGTCCGATACAGAGCGGCTAGAGAAAAATTGGAAATAAATTGGAAATAAATTGGAATTAAATTAAGGGAAAATCCGAAAATCCGATAGAGAAGTAGAGGGCAGGAGGAGACAGATCGAGGACGAGAAGTAGACGATTCGAGGACGAGAAGCAGACGCTTGAGGTGAGGAGACGCGGACGAGGCGAGGAAGAGAAGTAGACGAAGGGCACCGAGGACGAGGACGAGAAGCAGACGAAAATAGATAATTCGAGGACGAGAAGCAGACGAGTTGAAAGAAATGGCAACCCCAGGCAAACCAGAATCCCGGAGGGGGTCTCTGGATATAAACCCAAAAATGGACAACCTATTAAAAGAAATAAAAAAGATTTCGGAAAAACAAGATGCTTTGAAAGTGGAATTGAAAGAGGAGGTTAAGGCTAAACATGAAGAATATTATAAGAAACAAGAGGGAATTATTACAAAGATGACAGAAGAATTCAAGGTCTTGAAGTCTGAAATAAAGCAAGAATTTGGCCAGATAAAAGAAGACATATCGCAACTACATGGAGAGGTGAAAGAATTAAAAGTCTCTAAAGAGAAAATTGAGGGAACACAATCAGAAATGGCTCAGAAGATAAAAGGACTGGATAAACATAGGGAAAAAATGGAATGGGAACAAGAGAGATTACTGCAAATGCAAATGGACTTCCAATTAAGATTCAGAAATATAGCGGAGGAGGATAAAGAAGACATAAGATCATTGGTTATTAAAATGCTGGCAAGTTGTATGGAATGTGAGGAGGATGAATTTGAACAAGAGGTGGACCAAGTTTATAGGATTTCTTCATTCTATGCGAGGAAGAATAAAACCGTACGGGATGTGATTGTGAAATTTACAAGGAAGAAGGTGAGGGATGACATTTTGTATAAAAGTAACAGAAACCCAATCTTTTACAAAGAAAAGAAAATTGTAGTTTTGAAAGAATTTCCCCAGATGACCTTAGTGAGAAGAAGAAAATATTTCTTTCTAACAGAAGAGCTGAAAAAGAGAGAGATAAGATTCAGGTGGGAGAGAAAAGAAGGAATAATGGTGACATATAAGGAAGAAAGACACTGGCTAACATCAGAGCATAAGGCTAAAGTGTTTTATGATAAATTAATGAAAGAACAGGGAGATGAAGAAGAAATGGGAGAGGAGGAGGAAGAAGAAGGAGACGAAGCGGAAGGAGATGAAGAAAGAAGACTATCTACTCCAAGAAAGGGTATCAAAGAGAAAAAGGCAAGATATAAGTCACCAAAGGATTATAGCTACTTATTGAAAGATCCCAAACCACAGAGAACGACACCAAGAACGACACCACGGAAAGAAGAAAAAGGAAAAGAAGAACAGAGTGTTGAACAACAGGCAACTGGAACAGCGGAAATGGCTTGTGGCGATATAGGATTGGGACTCGATGGGAACGAATAAGATGATGGAACGACAAATAAAATGTTTCTCAAACAACATTAACGGTTTGAACTCCCCCCAGAAACGCAAGAA